TTCGGCTTCTCTCTAGAGGGGCCGAAGGTATTTAAGGAGTTATAATAGTAACTAATTATCTCGTTATCGAGTCTTAAAGATATAGCCCTAGGCCTAGTCGCGTTATTCAGCCCTATTACTAAAATATTAGAGAAGAAATTCGGTAAACGTGTCCTAGTTATAGGTATCCTTAGGATGTTCGATTTAGTATACTATCTAACGTTCTAAAGGCGTCGGGTTAAGGTAGTTCTAGGCGAATCTAATTTTATTACTATCGTTCGTGAATAGATAGAAGAATCGGCTATATTAGTAAGTCTATATATAGAAACTCTTTCTACTTTTACTATTAAAGTAAGGTAGTTTCTTAGGTTAGGGTAATTAGAATAGTAGTAGACTAGGATAGATTATTTTAGTTAGTATAGGTCTATATAAATATAGATTAGTTATTACTAGAACTAAAGCGCGTAATATAGCTTTAAGTCTTATAGTACGTTCTTAAGCTTCGTTAAGTTTACATAGTTATTACTTAAGTTAAACCTATTATTACCTCTCTTCGTATAGTCTAGTATATATATTATTATAAGGTATAGTTAACGTTAGGCGATTCTAACGGATTAACTCGTTAATATTAATAAGGTCTAGCCTCGTGTTAAGGTTAGGTCTAGTATAGTTCGAACTAGACTAAGATGGAGTATAATAGACTCTATCCTTATATTCTATAATATCTTCTATAGTTATACGGAATATCGTGCGAGTTATTAGTACGATAGTCTATAAGGTATAGTTATTAGTAGGGGTAGTTATAGGTAGACTATTCTCCTCGTTTAGGTTAGGAGAAGGTCTACTATAAGAGATGGTGCTACGAGTATTATAACGAGTAGTTAGAGCTATTTCTATAAACTACCGTCGTGCTATATAAAGAGGAATTAAAATATAAGGATTATAGACGTAGGATAGTAGTCTAATAGGTCATAGAAGGATTTAGGAATATATTTAAAAGGGTAGTCTACTCTTCTAATAAGGTTAATTTCTAAAGAGTAGGAATTAAGTATATACGGCCTACTTATATAGTGGTCTCGCTTATTCTAGCTGGCTTAACCTAGGTCCACCTGTCACGGACCGTACTAGACCATAGTGGTCTAGTTAAGTCCATCCTAGTATTAGCCCTAATAGAAGGCTAACCGGACTTACCCTTATAGCTTACCTTATAGCTAGTAGTATTAGATTTAATACTATATTTCTTAGCTAGATTAAGTATCTTTAGCTCGATATCTTAAAATCGTAATATATCTCGAGTTAATAAATTATTAATAATATAGTCTATGGTATTAGGCAATAAGATAAGGAAGAATAAGCCCTTAACCTCTTTAGACTTAAAGATTAGGCGTATTACTTTTATAACTATATAAGATAAAGTAGTATATCTTTTTACTATTCGCATCTAGGTATAATAGAAATTATTAATATATTCATAGATATCTTCTCCGTCTTTATAGCGGAGGTTAGCGAGTAATCTAAATAGATATATTAAAGAATTACCTATATCACGGTCGAAACGTAATAATAGGTAACTCTATATAGCTACTACTATATTATAGGAAGTAAGACCTATAATAAGATCTTAATATATTAATAAGAGTAATATAATTATTACCTTATTATCCTTTATATCCTAATCTATTACATCTATATATAAATCTATAACTCTAGTACTAAAGGGTCTAATAACTCTACTAGAGACTATTATCTATAATTATATATATTTAAATACGATTATCTAAGCTAATCTCTACTTAGGGAAATTTTCTTCTCTTAAAGATAGCTTAGATAGAGAGGATAGGTCGAGTTTAAAGTTAATAGATATATTTATTATTAATAAGTTCCTTAAGTTCCTTCTCTTTTCTTTATATAGGACTAATAGTTTCTTATTCTAACTCTTTCTATTTATTATATATTCGTAAGGAAGGTAGTAAAGGTAAAAGAGATAGAAGGATAGTATAGAGGACGATATAGAGGCCGAGAGTTAATAAGGTAGTAGAATTAAAGTAAAACTTTAATAGGATTAATAAGATAACTAAGTTTTAGAGAAGGGACTTACTTTTATTAAAATATAATAGTTTTCATTAATAAAGAGGTATTTTAAGGCTTTTATAGTAAAACGCCGGGCTTATAACCTATTATAAGTAGAAAGTAGACATAATTAAGGTTATTAAATATATTCTATAATTATATATATAGCTAAGTTCTAGGGACAGAGTCGAAGCTATTTAACCGTTTAGACACTAGTCCCGTTTGGGAAACAGTGTCCCTCACTCAAAGTGCCTTCCGACAACACCGGTGTGGGTTGTTCAGAGACAAAGAAGAGTCGGACCGGAATTGCCTTGGCGTGATGACGGATCTCAGCCACTGCGCAGATATCATCAGGTGTCCCATGAGGAACATCATCTTGGCAACGTCTGCGACGGGACGAAATCGTTTACGATTCCTATTGGTCGCTGAAGTGCCAAGTCTCTATATTCTATGGTTTCACTAAGATCTACTCTATTCCAAAAGCCGATGTCTGTCCCTACTTTACTACTACCTGACTTTCGTGCTCTGAGTGTCTGGAAGTCTCTCTAAAATTCTTCTTGGTGACTCGGCTTCGCGATCTTGACATCTAAAGAGACGCCCATGACCCTCATAGTCGATCGCTGCTGAAAGCTCGCATGTTCGCGAATCCTAGATGGTAGCGGGCGAAATCGGACTAATAAAGATTCAACCGACGTGAACCGAAGAATGAAAGACGATCCACAGGTTTATTGTTAGATCAGTGATGGTGGTATCACTGTGTTGATGGCCAAGTTGCTGATGAAAGCGAGGACTAATAGCTATCTTGGTGGATACACGTTGATCGTGCGTAAGTTGCTTGATGCCAGTGAGAAATGAGACCTGTCGGGTATTGCGACATCGACCTGGCCGAACAATCTTCCTGTCTAGTAGCTGTTCGCCGAAAACACGCAAAGCCACTAATGGGTGGAGGATTCGTCGAAGGCACACCGCGTGTTCGACGGCACCTGCAGAGGGAATTCCAGCCCTTGAACAGTTGTAGGTGGCACGTTGTTCGTGCTTCCCGTAGACAAATCCCGTTACTACCGGACAAAGTGCCTAGGAAGCCAAATTTGACCTAGTCAGCGAAAGTGATTGTTGGCCTGTAGGAACAGGTGTTTCCATTGAGTTAAACGCCAATACCCCCATTATGAAGTCTCTTGCTTGCCATCCTCGGTGACGATGGGATCATCGAAAACTAATGCCATTATTTCACTGCGCACAGAGACCACATGCCTTTATACATACGAATAGGTGATCTTGATCATCAAGATCATCTAATGACAACCAAATCTCGAGATGATATCATCTTTGACTGTCACTCGTATTTGCGATATGCTCATGCTCGAATGTTGTTTGTAAAGGAGGTAGAGACACTCCGGCTGAGACAGCCATAGAGGCGAGACAAATCATCATCATATGTTGAGATATCACTATCCTCCGTGAATCGACATGCTAATCAATTCGTGGTACTTCGCCAAGGCAGCATGTTTGTCGACCTAGAACATACATGTATTACATCCAGAGTTACTTAACACGTGCTATTCTCATTATGCTAGCGCTCCTAATGATACTCGCAGTTGCTAGTCTGTATGACATCTTTAAGTTATGACTAAGCTCCAGGCAAATAGATGTATGTTCTCCACTGCGATGCGTTGGCTTTGATAGTGTCATATAATGATTGAGGCCAGGCTGAAGCCTTGAAGTCAGCGTCATTAGACTAGTGTGACTGATTTACGTAAATTTCTTGAGTTCGATGCGGGAGAGCAGATATTTGCCCGATGACGGCCGCCAAAGAGAGTGAAGTGCAACAATAGTATGTTGGGGGCCTCGAAGTACGCCAGAGTAACATAAGCTTATTACCATACTTGCTGGAGGGGAGGAGACAGCAGTGCCTTTTGCGGACTATGGAGTCGTGGAATTCTGCTGGCAAAATTAGCAGTGAGCCCTTCACTTGCAGCGATCGTGATTGAGAAAAGTAAGTGTTGTTTGACAAGAGTGCGGAATAGTGGGAATTGTAGCTAGGATTTGTCTAGTGAAGTACTCACAAGGTGACAAATAGAAGAGAAAGATCTGAGATGTGAGCGAGGCAACGGTGCTTCATCCAGACTAGCGTGTTCTATACCCTATTCGGCATGTAACAGGGTTTATAGTGGAGACGTGGTCGGCGTATGCTTTTGTTTAGACACAAAAAAACAGTGGAAACTTGTCTGGTGTCCTCTGATAGGGTTTCAGGGATTGAAACTGAATATTCGCACTCGATATAAGTTTGGAAAGTGGGGCATCTTTCGCCTTCGGGCACTTGGATAATTTGAAACACCACAGAGAAGATTAGCATTGCCCCTGCACAAGGATGAAAAGCTTAGTCGAAGAGATTAGCCCTTTTTTTACCAATTTTTGGCGTAGGTTCGATTCCACGCATATCTGCCCTTTTGCTACCCCTTCTGAACGGCCGTTTGTTTACGCGGCCACAGCGTCTATCTTTGCTTTCTTTTACATGTATCAGCCTTCAAGCTTCTCAAGTGGCCATATGTAGATTCGCGCAAAGAATTAGTTGTACTATAGATAATAGCGTCGCTCATGTGTAGTTAGGACAATCTTGATAGTGTTTCGAAAAACTTTTTTCATATGTTTAAGTAAAAACCGTTCTCGTTACAACATTTACAAGCAGCATTATACATCCAATACCACCTTCTTTTCAAAAAGCTTGTAGGCATCCCGTATATCCGTCTCGGCCTACGTAGGGAAGAGCCAAAACTACTTGGTACCTCATTATACACCGTAATCGAGACGTATTGTTATATAGAAGACACTAATAGTATCTTCGCCTAAAACATCAGTCGTAGAGGTTCATATGCAATATCTAAATCAAATTCAGCAAAGCAGACACTTAAACGCAAGCATCAAATGTACGAACCAGACTTGAAAGAGACTGCCTACTCAATGAACAGCCGCTGATCATCCCAATAATTCTCGATCGCCCTCTTGGCGGTCGACCGCTGGTCCTGTGGAACGTAGTAACCATACTCCTCTCTGCCATGGTACTTGTACTTATACCACGTGATGCCACCGATCTGCTCGTGGCCGAAGACGCCTTCGATCCGAAGATCGGTGGAGCTATCGTTACCGCTGCCGCTGTTATCGTTGTTGTCGCTATTGTTGTTGCTGTCGTTGCCCCCGTCCTCGTTATCGCTGTCACCCTCGCTGGCTGTGCCCTTCACACTACCATTTGCTTCGCCTTTTCCGTCAATGTCGAAGCTATCGATTGAGGCATCAACGTAGGAGTCCGCCAGGCCCCTCTCCTTGATGTGATTGACGCCTGCAGCCGTGGTGTACAGCGCTGAGTATGTGCCATCATCATACAACAGAAAGCGAGCACCATTGTGGAAGATGCCTACGAAATCTAGGTTTCTGCGAGGGTTATCCAAGCGGCTGTCATGGATGTGCTGGTTGTAGCCCGGGTAGAGCACGAGTTCCCAACCGTCTTGGTAGCGGGCGGCTGTGACAGATTCGATCATTCTCGTAGACGGCCGGGGGATAGAATTGCTTTGAATGTATGGTAAGATGTGCTAAGATGCACTCGAAGTCGCAGTGATGTAGTAGTGATTGCTTAAAAAAGACAGTTATCAAGAAGATGGGCTTGAGCTATTTCAACCTAAGCTTCTAAGACGCATGTAGGGCTGAGAATCTAGAAAGAAGAAGTAGATATGGTCTGTAGAAGAGGACGGAGCAGCACGAGTCAAAACCGCCCAATGCAGGAGTGAAATCATAAACATAGATCTAAGGCCACGAAGCGAGGCCTAGTAAGGGATGCTACTATCCAACTGGGAGCCGTATTAAAAACTAATATCAGTGCTTTGGTGGGAGCAAGGGACAATAGAACACAGGCTGTCACCACTCTACTATTCACCACTATTACACACTCGAGCAAGGGCGTACGTACGGTCGTGGAGGCCAATGCTTGATCTGTATTTAAGCAGGCCTTGCTTCCAGAGCATAGATACATCTGTTCACTGTCAAATGGCGAAGCTGTTTTCTGTTTGGCGAGCGGAGTTGGTGCTCGCGTAGCGTGGAGTTGCACAGATCCTTGTTTATGGTTCACAATAACGATCTACGTTTATGTGGGCCGTACCTCGCTTGGACGGCGAACATAATACGAAAGCTCTTGGCGATAACTAGCTACCGATTACGCTTTATCTCGTTGTCCGAGCTTAAGTGAGCTGTCTCCGTCCACGAAGCGACCGTTTATAACATGAAGCCTATGTATAGATAGCGGGGCAGAATATGCAGGGGGGTAATCAAGTACTGCTAGCGTACACTTGGATAAATTTGAGCATCTATATCTGTTTATATCATGGCATTCAAGGTCTCTATATGTCTCAAAGCGTTAGTTAGAGCTTAAATCTAAGCGTGCTAGGACGTCTTTGAAAAGGAACAGTGTACAAGTATCTTTACTCTTGCTTCTATAACTAAGCTTGTGGTGGGCGTGTGGATTATTTATTTGCAGTCTCATCCGGTGTTAATTTCACATTAGGCCCATTCATACCAGTCCCATAGAATCACCACCGAAGCTGGATCTAGTATTAGTTAATTACATGCAACTCAAGTCACACTCCCATATCTACTCAACCTCTACACTAACATGGGTTCATTGTAGGAATGGTGTTCATAAAGTCCAAAGTAAATGAAAGGTTCTAATATCCTTTGAGAGCTAAAAAATAGTACTCGGATTACATTCGCTCAGACTTCGGCATATACAATCGGATACAATCCGAGGGCCTAGATTAGGATTGTATGATTAGTCACCCTAAAAGTACGGATTAAGCTTGGAATCTGCGCTAAGGGATTAAGATTGCTTATGTTAAATTGAATCAAGTAAGGTATATACATAGATATACCTAAGGCTATAATAGTTCTACCTAAGGCCATAATATTTCTGCCTAAGGCTAATATATTTATACCTAAGGCTTTAATAGTAACTAAATATAGCTAATATAAGGCTCTAGGCTGTATTCATATATTTACCCCACTTTATCTAATCTAACACAAGCAATCTGACCAATCGGATTGAGATTGTACCGTCTTGGCAATCATTTTTGACGTGTAGATTGAGCTTGTATTCTCTATTAAAATATTTGAGCAGATTGAGCTTGCATGGATTCGGATTGTATGTGCCGAAGTCTGCATTCGCTCAGTCATTACCCTCGCCAACATCCCCGCCTAATGAAAAGATGCCCCAGCGATCATTTCCACCACTCCTACTTGAAGAACATTTACCATTCCAGCACTCCATTACCGGGAGATTGTCTGTGTAGAGGCTTAGTCGGTTAATAGCATGATCCTAATGCTTCCAGCCCATGAGACACTTCTTGATATAACTTCTTTCAAGTGTAAGTTCATCCAAGTGTTGTAGACTCATAGATGATCTCCTGATGCCGATCGAGGCTGCTCTTTGTCGAACAAGATAGCATGTCCTCCCGCGAGTAATCTTGAGAAGGCGAAGCGTTCCTCGTGGAGTGTAACCATGCTACTTATGCTGGCAATAGCCTTTGCAGTATGCCATTCCTGTGGTATGCAGAGTTCCTATCAATCAGTTCAGTTCAACTTTGGGCCTCTAGTTGAACTGGACTGAAGTACTTCAATCCTAGCCGTCGTAGAATTGGATTGAACTATCAATCCTAGTAGTAGAATTAAAGTTAAACTGGACTGGACTAAAGTATATTAGTAAGACTAGCTAAAAGTCTTAAAGATAGATAAAATTTAGTGTTTTAAGGCTATATATCTATATTACCTATATAGTAATTCTTAATATAAGTAGATAATGAGCTAAAAGGAGACTATATTCATATTATTAGTATATAGCTATTAGTATAGAGACTTTATGTGGTTTTTTATATAAGAGAGTGGAGGTAAGGTCACGTGAGTCTCACGTGACTGTCACGTGAAATTACGTGGCCTATTATCTGATAGCCCACGCTTACCTAATGTACCCCGAAGTCATATGACATATCATGTGATACGTCATGTGATTTATCACGTGATGCGTCACGTGACAAAATATCACGTGACATGCTTCTGATGAATCTGTGGGAGTTCAGGCTTCAAAAGGTCCGGTAACACTTGTCAGATGACTAGGACTAGTCATTTTGGCTGAGTGGTTACGACAAATCTACTCGAATTACCTAACCTTAAGAGGATATCTACTAATATACTATCTATATATAACTTCAGTTCAACTCAACTATTAGCAACTCAATCCTACCCTAGAATTGAATTGGACTGAAGATCCAACCCTTGGCAAGAGGCCTCAGTTGAACTGGACTGAGTCAATTCTGGAGAGGCAGAATTGAAGTTGGACTGATTGATAGGAACTCTGGTGGTATGGCTAGACATGTTCGAAAGACCTAACATTCCCCACATTGCGGAATGGGGGGCTGCTCCTTGTCGAAAAGAATGGCATATTCGCTTTAGAGTAATTTTGATTGGGCATTGTAGGATATCGCCGTGCCACTTATATTGGCAACAGCTTTTGTACCGAGCCACTCATGCTGTGCGACCAGACATGTGTCGAAGGACTTGACATTTCTCACATTGCTAGATGCTATATCGCCACTCACGTGTCAGTGATTTCAGACTAATGTGAATGGCATGATGCACTAACATACCTTTGGAAGCATAATTGTGAGACTGTGTCGATGATAAGTAGAGACAATATTCTTGGTTGGTACCTGTGTCGTTTGCCATAAAGCCTTGTTGAACATGAGTTCTATAGCCCATATATCGAATTTCTTGAGAACTGGTATGTCGAGACACCACGTCTCCATAGGCTGACAACTATCAGCCCTATGGAGACGTGGTATCTGAGTTTCGTTGGCAGCCATCATGGCAAGAAACCACGGAATGAAGATATTGATTTGTTCGCAGACGGCTATTATCCGTAGAGTAGCCCCAAGAGTAGGCAGCATCTGCCTTGCGATTCTGAAAGTGTAACGAGATGGAAGAAGTGGTGACATATCAGAGGCGATCAGATCGCCAGTAGAAAAGAAATATATGTCAAGCCACGCTAAAGAAACTGTGTCGGCTGTGATGGAAACGGATGGAGGAGCTTAAGTAATTGGGAAAATTAATTTGCTTGTTTGAGGTCGAATCTTTGTGGCTGTGCATCAGTGACTAGGCGGACTGGCTACCCCTGTCGTGTTCGTAACAACGTGGTTGGCCGCTCTCCGATTTCCGAGTACAGATGAACCTGTCTGTGCCGCTACTTCTTTCACTTCCACACATGACTCCGCAGTCAGTCAAAATTTAGGCCGTAGCTCCTGCATCAATATATCCACTTATCCTCGATCAAGTAACCTCACTACACCAACTTGAGATGGCATTAAGGGTGCTCATGGAGTATGAATCCGTAACCTGGAGCATCTCAATTCAAGGTCAGAGTATGGAGATAGCTCCTAGAAGAGCACACGAGCGTAACCGCCCTCCCAGAGCTCATAATGCTACCTTTGTGGTTTTCGATGTTATCGAAGAGATGGGCTTGCTGTTTTACTGCGATGTGATATACTCTGCATCTTGTTTTAATGCAGCCGGAGCCCTGGTCACCAAGAGACATCAAAAAGCAGATATTGAAGTGACCCTGGTCCGGAAGATTGAGCAAATATTGAGCCACGAGCGTCACTGTTCTGGATACGTACACAAGGTCGCATTTGTTGGCTTCGATACAGATTGGAACGAGATATTGTTGACAAGAGCGCTTAAGACTACCGCAAAGTTCTAGAACGTCAGTCAGATTTCAGACGAGTATTGGGGTCCTGGTATGGAATCGTTATCTGTTCCCCCAGTTACTTTAACCCCTACGAACTGCTTGGAATCACATTTGACTACCGCCTAATTATGAGACTGCTGATATACATAGGTTGTGCTCGGACAGAAACAGATCCCAATGATTGGACTTCCGTGGAGGCCATGATCGATGAGCAGAATGGCCAGTACCTCGTCATATGGGCTGGGCGGACTGCGGCCACTGGAGATGGAGTCCAGACGGACTGGATGATGGCAGGTCGAGCCACTGACGGTCTCCTCAACGAATGGCACGCAGATGAATCGGAGAGGGTGTAGTCTACACGCCTCATCAACGCGCACAGCCATTCGGCGTGGTTCGACAGCTCAGACGGAGTCGAACATGTATAAGTGCTGTACTTCAAACCGGCTAGAAGTCTTGGGTGTGGAAGGTATGGATTTCTAGCCCTCCATTGGCAGGCTTCTTCGGACGGCGGCTAGCGCTCAATTAAGCACCTAGAGTAAGATTCATGTTCTTCATTACCCTACGCACAAGATGATAGGAGTATCTAACTCCAACTGAATAGACTATCGCCGCCTTCAGATGACACGCATCTCTTTTCTAAAGCACGTCACTAATCCCTAATGGAGTAGAAATGCCTCCTCGTCTTGTCTCAATATCACAACGATCAATCTATAGGCACAAGCTCCTGATGGAATATCAAGGGGATAAGAAGAGACGGAGAACAGGTTATATGGAAGGAAAAAGAGTTGGGCAATGGAAGGACAGACTTGAAGACAGAGCAAAAATGAAGCATGTGCCACAGAAGACAGAGAGGCTCGAACTCTCCTCTTACCAGTTATATCTGATGTAGTCACCCCTCCAACAACTCCATAACATCATCTGGATAAAAGAAATACTATATTGTACGTTGGCTATGGCATCTTCTTGCCTCACGGGCTTTGCAAGTGTATTCGCAATGAGCATGCTTTGGCAGCAAGCACATCGCAAACAACCAGGCTAACAGTCTTGTACTCTGATTGATGTGTCGCGCACGATGGCAGAGCGCTAGATGCAATGATTGGTCTGGCCAGTAGCCGTACAAAGTGATGGTCCTTTGGCATCGTCGATAAGAGGCACAGTGGAAGACGAAAGACGTCTGCAAAGTACAAGGGACACTAATTAAGACGCTTTGTAAGCTAGGAGAACGCACCAAGCGCCGGAGACAGGACTAAGAAATGCCGGCACATCGTGTTGCAGCTAATTATGCCACTGTCCACACCTAACCAAAGAGGAAAAATGCCGCGTTGTGGAGGAACACAGATGCACGGAGGGGAAGCAAGCAAATGTAATTAGCAATCAATATGTTAAGGATAGCGGATTTGTAAAAACATGCAGTTGTAAGGCGGCAGATAGCCTGCCGATACAAGCAATCCCCACTTCAGCCACAGCAGTAGCATTAATAATGAGTGATGTGAATCCGGATAGCAAACCCTGGCTTCCGACTGGCCGAAATTGTCTGCCTTAGGTTGCACATGTCTCTATAAAGACCCCGACAACATTGTGCCTCCAAGAGAAACCTCATATCCAGACTCACACCTTCTCTCACACCTAATAAACATCACCGCAACCCCTCTCACACACACTCGCAATGGCCCCAATTACTACCGACGCCTACCTACAGGCCGTCAAATTTCGCCGCACCGTGTACCCACTCACCAACAAGTCCCCCGTATCCGACGCTCGCATCGAGGAGATCGTGCAAGGTGTGATCGGCTCGTCGCCCAGCTCCTACAACACCCAGTCCACACGCGTGCTCGTCCTGCTCGGCGCACAGCATGAGAAGCTATGGGACCTAGTGCGTGAGCACGCTCTACCGCTGCTGCAGGGTGCCGGTGAGGACGTAGTCAAGAGCATGGAGGGTCGCTTCAGCATGTTCCGCGCCGCGTATGGCAGTGTATGTTGCCTTTCGTACTCGCCGCTAGATCCCGGGCTCACTTTGATGGATTGGCACTGACGTCCACAGGTTCTGTTCTTTGAGAACAAAGCCACCGTCGACGAAGCTGCCAAGACGCATGCGGCTGTCGCAGGCATGTTCCCCCAGTGGTCAGAACATGCGTCCGCCATGGCACAGGTGCAGCTTTGGACAGCGCTGGAACTCGAGGGTCTGGGCGCGAACTTGCAGCATATGAATGCGTTTCCACCCGTTGCTGCAGCGATCCGCAAGCAGTGGGATCTGCCCGAGGCGTGGATACTGACGGCGCATCTGAACTTTGGCACAGTGAACGGCGAGTTTCCAGAGCACCCCAAGAAGTTGCCCTTTAGTGAGACAGTTAAAGTTGCCAAATAGTGAGGCTAGACGAATTGAAATGTGCTAGGTATATCGAAGGCGTGCCTGGTGGAATGCAGATTCTGGTGATAGATGACGTCATTAGGTACAGTATGCCCCGCGTTCATCAAATGCCTAACGGCATTCCACTGCATTTAACCTAGACGATCCATCTCCTCAAGCATGACTCCGTAAACTGTAATATCATCCTCGTACGCGCTTTAAAACCCCTTAGTCTTCCATAGCACCATCCACCTCGCTACAAGCACAAGACACCCTCACCACCAGTATTACGAAACCTCATCGCAACCTACACTCGAGTTCCTCTCTCTTCTCCCTTATTTCAACTTCCTACTCAAGTTCTCCTCATCTCACAATATTGGCCAAATAATCTTCCATACCCTACCGACACGCCCTGACTCGTGCGCCCGGAGCGAAGACCCAAATCCGTCATCCATGCAGTCAGCCTTTAGCCAATGCTTGTGCTAGGTCATACTTACTACATCCAGCGCCGCCGTCTGACACACACATACCCTTGTTCCGTTTTCGTATCGCCCGGGGCATGTGACTAGAAGGGTATGCGAAGAGGTTGGATGGCTGGGCGCTGGCAGTGGATCCTTGCGTTGGGTCACTTTATATGTTGCCATGTTGTCGGGGTCTTCAGTATTGTGAAAGATACCAGGCAGGTGTCTGCAGGGGCCTTGCGAGGATATTTGGAGCCCTTCAGTTTTGCGAGTCGAATTGAGCATTATGGCATTTCCGGCAGTCGCTCTTGACCCGTCCCAGTACCTCGTTTTGAGACTCGCTGTCTTGTGGGAGTGTTTATATATAGTATCGCAAGGCTACACACACGTCCCACTGTGTACTTGCCACTTTCTTCAAGTTTTTCTTCTTCCGAGTCCTGCTCTTTCATTCAGCCTCGCCGCGGCCCCATAACCACGTTACACACACAAGTCTTCCAACCACACTCATCCCCACGTAGACTACACCCGCAAGCCGATCTTTCATAGCATCTGCTTGCGCATTGCGCAGGACACTAGAAGTATGCAGATGTTTCTTCGCGGCATTGAAGAGGTATATAGGCCGCCATATACGCGGTAGACACGCTCTAATGCTACACGGGTACCGCATAGCAGGCGCACTCGATACTGTATGCGCAACGCGCATAGTCTGGCGTCGCGCAAGCCAGTGTATCTATAGGCAGTGCACTGTGTCCTGACATATGGGCTTGCCAGTGTGTGTCTGTCGCCTCCAAGTGCTATGCTCTTGAGCCTTTCTGTCATATACTACTATGGGTTGCTGCTACAGCGAGTTCCCTTATTTTGGCACCGTCCCTTGTTGTGTTGGGTGGTTCTCTTGTTTTTGCATGTGCGCTCGTGTCTGCTTCTGCATGGCGCTGTGTGCCGTGCGCTGGGGGTGGCTCGCTTTCGATTCTGGAGGCTCGAGGGATGTTCGAGGGGAAGATTTGATGAGAGAAGTGTTTCGTAAGAATGGTGTGTTCGCTAAGAGTAGCATTCGATCTGGAAGTTTGGTAGTAAACGATATGTTCCGAGCAGATGAATGTCAGGCGGTAATGTCCTCGCGTGATTTTGTGTACGAAGGAGAGCTTGGCAGTAGCATGGTCTGTAAGTCAACTGTTTTTACCAAGCCTCACTCCTCTTGCTTACCTTGTTGCTACCAATATTCCTCTGTGTGTCTATGGATAACGGAACCATGCTACGTTGAAGCCGGGACGACACAATTTCCAGCCTCCGTGTAGCTAAGATTAACATTTTTTGTCACAATAACAAGACCTCTTGTAGGCTTCCACCATGTAGGCTAGAAGGTGTCATTTGTATCGCCCTGTTTCTCGGGGGCTGGGAAGTAGTAGTAAAGTCAACGCATGTCTCTCTGGATGGTGAGACGCGTGTTTCTAAAGTGGCTTGATGGCCCACATACAAATTATTGCCAAGGGCTATCCCTTATTCTCGGTTTCTAGAAAGCCTCAGCCATTAGTTAATTAACTTTTGCTCGAAGTACTACTATTAGAAAAAAAGAATGTTAGTTATCACTATCGCTAACAGATGTCGAGCGTGTAGACGGAGTTACTGTGGTGGTAGCATACCACTTATCTAGCTACGAGCCACCACAGAACAAGATCTCAAAAAAGAGCACAACTCGTCCTAGCCTGGACTTGAATACGGCCCTAAAAAAATGTCAAGAACTTGTAGTTCTCTCTGATTAAACATGTCATCCGTTAATCTTCTCTGTATCGTTGCCATTATACCAAGTGGCCGAAGCCAGAGTAATCTTGACTCGTGTAAACTATACTTTGTAAAAGTGAGAATTTTGGCCTGTTAGAGAAGGGATTCCAAGGACCCTGCCAAGGGTTAATGTTCACTCGGCACTCTTTCCGCTGAATTCTGCCGCCGACCGCGCTAGCAAATGGGATTCTGTGGGTAGAAACTGTCTAGATGTGATGTCATTATTGTTTCAAGACTGTGAAAGTATCTTTCCCTTGCATTCGAGCATCTTCTGCTAAGAAGAAAAGTAAACAACGCAACTTCGGGTAGTCTGAGCTCTGGCTGCCCTTGCGCTTGTAATGGTCCTCAATTCTGTAAGCTAGCACGACTTATCAGAGACAGTACAAAGTCCTATGGCAAACAGGGCAAATAAGATCCCGTGTAAGGCTCCACCACTAGAATCACAAGCCGCTGTAGAAAGTGGAATCTTGTCCCCAACCATGGCAGACTCGTGTTAGACTGTATTTACACATAGGTGCAGCTCTCAAAACCCATCATGCATCATGGTACTACCAGCATTTAAGAACATGGAAAGGTTTTTAAAGAAACGCTAAGTAAGACGGATCATTCATGCAGTGGCGCAATTTCCCCAATCATACATCGGACTGCTAAATCTTATTGACTCCATCAAAAAAGACCTTACCGTGTTGAACGAATCTTTATGCATCTCTTTATGACAAGCCTCCTAGAACTCAGAGACCTACATGCGCAAGTAAGGTCGTAATGTCGTGCTAGCTAACAAGCCCAGTGAGTGACTATCATCTTTTTATTCTGCTGTGCCCCTACCATCATGAAAACAAATATTATACGACGATGGGAGTCTGTCGATTGATAGCTTTGGTGATTGTAAGATTTTCCAACTTGCCGAACTCTTACACTCTGAGTGGGAGAACGTGTGTTTCATTGGACGCCAAGCAGGCTCGTGTAGTACGGTCGTGTTATAGATGGGAAACTTCAGCCTGGTGTATCAATTGATAGCGAATACCTGCTCGAGAGATGGCCTCTGACATGCTATTCTTTGTGAGCTTGGCTAACGCATGAAATGGAGCTCCTAAAACATACCTTGAGACTTCATACCACATTGGCTGCGTGCATAGAGTTACAACCTGCAAGAACTCGGACACCGACTCAATTTCCAGCAAGTCTGCGAATCAAGGACCCTATGTGAGTGAAAAAAGTTTTCCGCAGCTTCTATCAAAGCCGATACAGACGTATTGCTTGATGGTGATCTTACTTACAAACAACCCCTGATGAACTTGCCCCACGCGATATTACGGGTTGTTCGAAATTGCTTCACCACAAGGCTCTAATTATATGTCTCAACAGATTTCTGCACCTTCGTATCCTGTTACTTACCATCCAGCAACTATACATCCTGCCGTCTCATCTATTGCTGGTCGATTTCTTTTCCGCAAGTATTTCCACGAGCTTGGCTAATTTGTCTATTATGTTCTGACAACTCTGAACTTTAGTAAGTGAAACAATCGATCAAGTCTACACCATTGGCGGCAAGTACACTTACCTAGAGACTGAATAAGTAAAGGTAATTAGTAGTCACGGACTCAGTATACGACGCTAAGTATATATCCTATTCAGGATGAATGTTACTAAGATGTAATCGCTAATTGATGCTATATGCAGTTTTCCACGCACGGGAGTCAAGAAGAACCTCACTGGTCATTGATTGGAGGAATGGATATGAATGACAAGAACACATTAAAGAGCCAAAAGGAAATTTCATGATTCCTAGCATGTAACATCATAAATTTACAAGAAAGTGCAATGATAGCAGCATTTACGAGATGTGCGAACGCTTGGACAGTCAACAGTAGGATTCATGTGTAAAAAACAGGCATAGGAAATTTTCACGTTCTATTAGAGAAGAAAGCATAGATAAGAACGAGGGACATGCTTTAATTTTACAGTTCCAACCTCTACGCCTGAGGCGCTAGAATATTGACCTTGCCAAGCGGCTGTTCCAAGTCTGACAGAATAATATGCCACACCTCTGAGGTAATATCGATGACCTTGAAATCATAGCCCGTCTCAAAGTCGCCCCATACTCCCACGGAGACGAACACACAGTTACCGCGTGTCGCAAGATCATCTTTGAAGCGTGTACCGGGCCGTGAGAAGTCGAGGCGCAGCTTGCTGCGGGCCTTGGTCGGGTTGATTAGAATGAGAGTGCATCCTGAGGTTGACTCATCATACATGGTATAGCGAGCCGTACAGTATGTCAGCGTCTGCCTATACCTGTTCAGGCTGTCGTCGACCATGCTCTTGTAGTCGAACCATCCAAGACTTCTCTTTTTCGGTATAGTGGTATGGCTATAGACCAATTTATAGATGTGGCGGTCTGTATCTTCTCCCAAAGTTTGGGTGATTCGCTTCAGCCGCCCGTTTTCCATGATCATGATGCCATAGAACAGTGTTTCGGCGTCCATCTTCTGACGAGAGCTTGGAGTATATGGGCGTGTAATAGGAAAGAACACAGACAAAGGGAGCTCCGATGCTGTAACTAGATGAGCCTATATATACTCTGCCATCTTTTAGAAATTGACTTCTACTTCTGGTAATTCAAGATTGACTTACCTTGTGCAATGATCTCACACCCTAGCTGATTATCGTGTAACGGGCACGAGTGGGGGTAGATTTAGGCGGCTGGAGTATTAAAGGCGTGGGCATGGAGGCAAGAGAAGTGGTGCTGTTACCAGGTCTTGTGGAACCTGTATGCAAACACTTGAATGGGGCTCGTTCGGAAAATCATTCACAATGCTAGGGAATTATGCCGATTATGTGAAGGAGTCCATAGCCTTGGCGTTGACGTCTTATTACCGTGCACTCACTGATTAACATGGTTGAGAAACTCTGACCTAGCTCTGTCGACTGTCCCATATTACTTCCCTGCTACTTTCCAGCCGGTCGAGCATCTACGCAGGATGACGAACATGAATGGAAAATCACGACCATGGTCAGTCACGGTATGTCCCAGTCTTGATTGATAAAGCATATAATAATGTAATCTCTATGGTAATAGCTAGTTATACTCGAAGCTGCACGTCAGCGTCCTCGCATACGAATCTTGCCGCCCCTAGTCATCCGCCAGGTATACTTGAGATCATGCTACATAGGGCGCAGAGACTGTAGATCCACCTATACAGCATAGATTCCACTGACTACGAGCAGCTCTTCATCTCGACAGTCCTTATATGAAGAGGAGGCTAACGACTCTGTAGTTCCTTCGCAGGCTCGAGAGAGCTATCTAAACTAGATCCTCCCCAAGATCTACGCACTCACTAATTGGTATGGTGTTTGCGGATGGTTGCCGCCTGGTGCTTCTCGAGCAGTTTACGCCCTGGAGATATCTTACAAATGTCTCGTCATGGCAGCACAGGTTTTGAGAAAGCAAAGGCTACTCTGAAAAATGTATTGGGTTTAGCAAAAGAAGAAATATACTTAGAACCATTCACTCCTATCGATTAGCAGGCTTTGAATTCATGAGGATCTCACTAGTCATCAAGAGAGACAGCTTATTCGATCCGTTGTTAGAGATGCTGAAATTTCGACTGTAGAAAACAGAGACTTCGGTCAGCAGACCAAAAGATACAAAAGTTGGGAACATGGTTCAAGATAGAGCATGCCTGAGCTCTTTGGGATATAACGTAGCATGAAGAGTGTTTTGCAAATAGCGACTGCCTCTTCTGTGTATGCTATATATAGCCTACTTGGTAGACGGCTCGAGTGTTAGGCACGCTGTTAACATACTCCATTTTGTACTTATCTTTGGAGCTACACACTTGGCTTCGAAATATTAACTATGTTTTGTCAGGCTGGCTTTTAGTACCAAGACATTTGACCTATTAGATAACTAGGCCAACATTCTATACACTCGACACAGAGTACTTTCAAAGTGTAGGCCCCTTAGCATAATATTAACCTCATGACAAGTCGACCTCAAAAGAAAATAATAATCCTAATATGTATTGGAGGGCGAGCACGCATCGTGATGAGATATACACCGTGCTTGGCTTTTCCGGGGTATATGCGCCAATCAAACTTCAGGGCTGACATTCTACTCCGCTTGACAGCCACACCTTTTGGCACAGCCCTGCACCTTAGGCACGTCAGTCGACACTACATTCCTTCCACAAACAGCCAACGCTATACAACAAAAACAACAAATGCCGGATAATAGCTCCGACCAGGCGCAGCCGCTGCTACAAGATGACACTGGCCATATAGCTTCTTACGGGGGTGAAGCAAACGTCGAAAGTCAGCGCCTCAGCACATTTGCAAAGAACCTCTCTGCACGCGATGCTTACGCCGTTCTCATCTCGATCATCATTGGCTCCGGTGTCTTCACATCGCCAGGCTCTATCGACTCTAATGTTCCCTCACCAGGAGTAGGATTGCTGGTATGGCTTGTTGGTGGCCTTCTTGCCTGGACTGGCGCCGCCACGATGGCAGAGCTCGGGACTGCAATTCCAGGAGAAGGAGGCATCCAGCCTTATCTTACGCGTGCGTACGGCGAGGTATTCGGATTTCTAGCTGCTTGGACTTGGATCGTCGCCCTTATGCCGGCTACTTTGGCCATTCTTAGCATTGCTTTCGTCGACACCATATCATCATTTGCTGGAGTTACGGGAGGCTCGCACATGTGGGCACACAAAGGCTTCTCTATCATGGTACTTTTTGTCGTGACAGGAGCAAATTGTATCAGTACAAAAACAAGTACACGGCTTGGATCTTTCTTTGTCGTCATCAAGCTGCTTTCGATTGCTCTATTGGTGCTGGCCGGTATATCAGTCGTTGGAGTATATAGTGCTCAGAGCCATCATGACATTGGCGGCGGTGACTGGCACTCTAGGGGATGGTTTGGTCCTCGAGATACAGTCCAAAGAGACGGAACCAAAATTGACTGGACAACCCTGGGCCAATGGCAGAGGCTAGGGCACTACTCTGCGGCTCTCTACGGCGCACTATGGGCATACTCTGGCTGGGACAAGGCTAATTATGTTGCTGCAGAACTCTCATCACCATCTCAGCAACTTCCTCTTTCAATCAATACTGCTATACCAACCATAATATTGAGCTACGTCCTCTCGAATGCGGTTTACTACATCCTTCTACCCTGGAGTGTTGTCTCAACGACCGATAGCGTTGCAGTGACGGCAATCATGCGTGTTCTCGGGTCTGCAGCTGCTATAGTGGCAGTTGTCATGATATGTCTTGTGATCGCTGGTTCACTGCTCGGCAATTCATTCGTTACTGGCCGCATGACTGTCTCCGCTGCCAACAAATCCTGGCTGCCTGAAGATCTAGGTGTAGTTGGCAGGGTTGGACGAAAGCGCAATGTCACAGGGACAAGCAACTCCGATGTGCTTGCTCCCAGGGATACTCCAATGTAAATCCCAATCATTGTGCCATAATGCCATTTTACTGACATGGTGTAGCAATGCACTTGTTCTGTCTGCGATCATCTCCGCAATCTACATCCTTGTAGGTGACTTTCGAGTTCTCCTTACTTTCAATGGCCTTGGAGAGTACACCTTTTTCCTTCTAGCTGTGCTTGGAAATGTTATTCTTCGATGGAAGGAGCCGGATCTGCCTCGCCCGTATAAGCCCTTCATTGGAGTCCCTATATTATTCGCTGTAATTTGTGCTTTTATGGTCGTTCGGGGAGCGATTTTTGCTCCAGTCCCGGCAGCGATTTTGATAGGTATTTGGAGTCTCGGATATGGGTTTTACCTAGCTATGAAACGGTCTGTAGAAAGAGCATGAGTCAGGCAACAGGTAGTAGCATCGTTAGAAAGAGTCAGAAATGTTGCACGATTCCCCATCAGCTCCATGCTGTCTTGCTTAGGTTCTGTATCTTCTTTCCCGCGGTTCTCTGACCTTCAAGAGTGCACACAAACTTCTTTCACTTAGCGAGGTGTTCTAATAAGGGATGGACTAGACCACCTAATCTGAATGGAACACTTTCAATTCTTATGAAGTGTTCCCAAGATCACTCATAGTGGGGCCAAGTGACATAGACACATGTTTACTGTACTATTCACAGGGTCTCATCTTGGTTCGCCGGGTCTGTGTCCGGCTGCACACAACAGAGGTATTTAAGGGCTTTTCTACTGTCTCAACTCCTTCCAGATCTATCCCACTCCAGACAAGATCTTCCTCCTACATAAACTCTTAATCTCATTTCTCTCCAAGATGACTTCCAGCCAAAACCACATCCGCTATGTTTGCACTACTTTCGACATCGAGATCACTCCGAACGTGCTCAATATAGCATATGACGACCGGTCAGGGGCTCCCGCATCCTTCAGTGGGATACGCAACGCACCTCCTATCAATCCCCACCACACCGATCACCAGGTGTTTACCACGGACCACCTGAGTATCATGCTTTTTGTGGGTGGCGGAACAGTCGTCACAATCAATGATAGTCGCGGCCGACCTAGCCGCAGACGCACCTTCAACGTGCCGCCAGCACTCCTAGGCTGGGTCGAGACCAATGAGGGCAGACAAGGGCACTGGCTGTATGTCAATGACGCGAACAGAGGAAGCTTTGCCGGTATGTATAGCTTCATTCCTCCCTCTGAATTTACACCTGATCATTGCTCTGGAAGCTCGATGGGTCATCAATTCGCGGTCCCTGCCCACGATATTGATACTTTATCAACTCCATAGCCATGAAAAAAACCCTCCCCTCATACCATAAAGTATTTCTACAAGCTTCATACGCTCTAAAGTCACCTTGCAATCTTAAACTTCCACAATTCTCTCTCCTTGCTATCCCTATAGAACGTCTCTTCATCGAGACCCAATCTAACTCAAACGCAGAACTCCGAATCGCCCCCCCGCCCGCTTTGAGCACCAGATCGGCCACTCAGGCCTCCCAGGCGTTCTCATCTTCTGGTTCCTCCCTGAACCGCCCTTGCCTTCATCCCCCTACCACAATGTCTTATCGCAGTAGCAATGGGCGTCCTACCATCTCTTTCCCGCATATACCGTCCGAGAATCAGTGTTTCTGCGCTACGATGAGGCGCGTGACAGGTTCGGCGCAGGTATGCGCTACCTGTAGAACTGCCCGTGGAACGAATATGTAGAACAGATCGGAGAGGTCGGAGAGGGCTGGAAGAGGATGTGATAGATATGAGATCAGGCAGACAATGCTGGAGAGGGGAAGTTTGATAACATTTGGGAGTTTGGGAGCTTGGGTCACAATCATATAGCCATTCGAAGTTGTTACTACATTGGATACCTTGACCGGGCCATGTGTATCTGGTCCCATTAGCTTGACATGGATACTTTTTCCTGGTAGCAATGCACAACAATATCCTTTGCACTTGCACGACATTTAATACATACGTGATAGCAGGTACAGCGATTCAATTGTTTCATATATATCTCATAGCACATATCAAACCACACATAGCGTAATTATCCCTTGCTATAAGCCCAAGTCCCACTCTACGTGATGTACCGAAACCCGACTGCTTCGTCTGCCATCTCCGTCACGTCAATATTCCCTTTCTCAACAGGCCCTTCCATGCTCTCCCTCCTCTTATTCTCTCTGGTCAACCACCACTTATGCACTAGTACCTGCAGAACCACACACGCCGCCATTGCACACGCCACCCAGTGCCCCTTTATATACTCAGGCGCCTCGACCCTTGGATAGAAGAATGTGCCAGCAATGCTCCCAATATTACCCATAGCAGTATACGCACCCAGGCCGATCGCTCGCTTCGACTCGTTGCCCAAATTATTCGCAACCCAGGCGTGGGAAGGAGGGTAGAGCGCGTAGACGGATGGTACGACGAGACATACGCATGCATATTTTGCACGCAGAGCAGAGGTAGGAAGGGCAGCAAGGAGAGCGTACATCACGGCGGCGACCATGGCGAGGACGGCGAGGTGCAGGCCGCGTTCGCGGTAGTAATCGGAGGTATAGGAAGTGGTAAACATGACGAAGAAAGCGATTGCATAGGGGGGGACTGCGTGGAGTAAGTAGACTGTATGGAGAGAGATTGATTGGGTCAGGTACCGGTCATGAGATTTGCTGATGTGGGTGTGGAGTAGCCAAGATCCTCGATGATTGTCGGGAGGAAACCGGATATGGAGGAGATGAGGGAGGCGATTGGAAGGTATATGGCAGCTAAGATAGACCTTGAGTACGAATGCAGTAACGGGGACGTAGCGGCTGACCTTGAGCGTAAAGTTTCCAATCCCCCAGTGCCATCACGAAATGTTTCTTTCTTATACCCGTCCCTGAATCAGCGAACTCCATCTCATACCTCTCGATAGCAATTTTCGCCTGTCTGCCCTTGAACCGGCTATTTTTGGTAGGGCGATCAGGGAGCCAATACAGCATGAAGAGCCCTAGAAGAAAGCATGGAATACCCTCGATAATGAAAAGTAGCTTCCAATTTGGAACTCGAGCTTTGATGTGTCCCACTCCGTACGCAATCAGACCTCCGAAAGCCCCTGCAATTGACGTCGGTCCGAGGAACCAGAATATTCGTAGGCCCATCTCGTTTCGATGGTACCAGAGTGAGAGATAGTAGACGATGCCAGTGCCAAATAACCCTTCGAAAGCACCAAGGAAGATACGGCAGACAAGAAGAGAGACGTAACCCTGGGCTGTGACTTGGAGAACAGAGCAAACAGCCCAGCCGCACACGCCAAAAGCGATCCACTATCAGGAATTAGTTGTTTGAGGCATTGCGAAATCTTACTGTCTATAACATTACCTTTGATGGTGGAAAGATCCTGTATCCGATGCTACCTGGGACCTGACATAGCACAAGGCCTACATAGAATATCATGATGACTGTCTGCCATTGAATAGAAGAGAGTGTGGACCTTCCTGGGCCTACTCCTTCATTTGCTGTATCGTGACCTTTGTCGAGGCCTAGCAGTTTAGCGTTCTGTTGATTGCGATAGTTAGCAGAAGATTTTCGATGGAAGTAAGGTAAAATACAGCTATGTTCCCGCGGTCAAGATATTCGAAGAAGTAGAGGATAGAAATTGCCGGAAGGATGATTCTGTCCAGTCGACGCATATACTTTTTCACCTCCTTTTCGTTTTGGCCCTCATTTATGTTCTGCATCGTGGCAGACTCCTCAGCGTCGACCTTCTCAGTCCATATCTGTTCAGGTTTGTTAATCTGCTCCATGATGAGGCAGGTGGAGCAGTGTTAGCATCGTGAAGCCGAAGATGTCTGCTGTCGAGAGGTCGGCCTTAAGAAGATTTCCACATTGCTGGTTTTAGTGCAATTGGAAGTTGGTTGGCCTACAAGACATCTTGACCCGGATCGCCTCGAGATAGCGCCTTGTCGTTTGAGCAGGTTGTGTTGTGCTAGCCCTAATCCATCGACTAGTCCTACCACACCCGACCTTGGTTAGCGCGGTTTGGTCAAACTCCATGGAGACTTTCCGGCTGTCTCTCCGGGAAGATGCTAGCGAGCGTGATGAGCGGCAACCTCCATGGCTTCAAGCGCAATCAAGGCAAGCCTAAGGTAGCATGGTTCTCAAAAATGCCTCGTAAGTGTGATGGAGTAGTCAGAGGTTGCGCCTTATGTCCGACAGTCTCAACAGAATGCCTCTGAATTCATCCGGCGCATTGCTTCTGGGCCTCAATGAACGCCAAAACGTCCACTTGCAGTCACTCCTATTACAAATAACGATCATGGCATCGAATCCTCTTACACAAGACTCCAGCATAGCTGACAAATTACTACTGCCAGACTCCTGGGATTCACACCTCCATGTAATCGACGCAGGTACAACTATCCTGTTAGGAATCACGCTGTATCTGCTGACCATAGCTATAGGACACGCTATTGTACGCAGAAATACGGACACAAGCGAGCAGCTCTACCTGACCTTCTCAAGTCTGAAGGCAGGATCGGGAACACTGTCCATGTTTGCATTGTAACTGCATCAATGTGCGGAGCGGATAAAAGTATCATCCTTGATACGCTCTCAAAGCTCAAAGGTCGCAGCAGTGCCGTCGTCACCATCGATCCGAGAACAGTCGCCGACATCGAGCTCGATAACATGCACAGACATAGCGTTCGAAGAATCCGCATAAACCTGAAGATTATCAATGCCAACCCAACGAAGCAAGACAGCCCGACTATTTGCACACTCTGAGAAGGTTCGATCGCGAGGCTAGGTGGTACAGATGTGTCTCGAGCTCAACCAGCTTGCCGTCATTATTGATGTCATACCTCAGCTTTGTGTGCGCATCGTAATAGAACATAAGGGCTAGCCCGTGGCTACGAAGCCTCATAACAGGTAGGATACAGAGATACTTGAACTCCTGTCAAAAGGCTAGTTATGGGTCAAGATCAACGGAGAGTATCGCTTTTCTAGCTGTCAGACTTGGACCAACCTGCAAGGGCATTGATTCGCGCGAATCCAGATCAAGTCATTTGTGCAAGTGATTGGCCGCATACAGGTGGCCTGGAGATGAATCCTGACGGTAGTAGGCGGGCAGTGCAAGAGTTCCGTCACATTGACCATAGAGGCTTGTAAGAAGTGATGCGATCAAGACAAGTCACTCATCCAACGTGTATAACGAGAGAATGCAAGGCAGCTTCGGACAGCCAAGGACTTCAAGGCAGCAAGTGTGTACTGTAGCATCTCATTTGTCTTTTAATTTACTAAATCCTTGCTCTTTTGCTCTGGTTACTTGTTGTCAACAGTTCCGTACGTGATGTTAGATGAGAAGGTCACCAAAATCGTCGAAAGTCAAGGACGACCACTGCTGAGGGAAGCCATCAAGGGATGCGTATTGGGTGATGTTGAAGTCGAGTGTAGGGCTGGCTTCTAAAAGGCTTGCATCCATATAAGGATACGGAAAGGCTGGCATCGAAAGGTCTATGATCTCGGCTACTGGTTGCACAGCTTCAAGGGGCAATCTCGAAGTTTCTGGGGCGGCAGTTCTCGGTAGATCGTATGAATCGAGACTTCGGAGGGCTATATCGATACTACGTTGAATACCAGGACAGCTTGAGCGGCAGCCATGAAGAGCCCGCATGTATGTATCCACTCTCTCTTGAGAGCCTGGAATACCCTGTTTCAGATCTTCAACTGCAACTGTTGCTGCAGTGTCTATACACTAATCAGAGTGGCAAAATTGTGATTCATATTTCTCTTACATGCGCAGTATGCCATCATGTAGGTCACATGAGAAAAGCTGTCAGTTCTCTCTAATAAAAGTAGCAGATTCTCGACATCCGCTGAAGCTTCACGGCAAGCCTTCTGGCAAGGTTCGTAGTCTCTAAAAGGACGGTGTACCAGTATCACAGTCGTATGATAGACGAGACTTTTTTAGGGGTTAGTCACTGTTCGTCAGGATACAAGAGTACTCACTTCTGCATTAAAATATGTGGTGGCGGACACCGGATATCTGTAGCATCAAGTTTTAAGTGGTCTGGAGTGGCCTTGCGCCATTCATCGAGAGCATGTCTTGCGCTTTTGATGTGAGCTAAGACAGTTGAATAATTATCTGACCTCTTCTGGTTATATAAATTCAGTAAGATGTCATTGACGATGACCATGAGTTTGCAAAAGTTGTTGAAACAGCTGTAGATACGTGATGGTGTGGGTCGATAGCCATCGATGGCTGAAGCGTCGCCAACACCGAGCGGGACCCAAGGATCGTGCTCCATCGAACAGTCTGTGGGTATGCCCAACTCAAAATCGGGCGGCTCAACGAGTGTTGGAACTCGGCCAAGGTATAAACTAATAGCCTTGTCCCACAGAAAACACGACCAAGCAAGCCTTTCGCGGATGCAACCTATTTGACTGTCTGAGGTATTATTCGCCTTTGTGAAGATGCCTAGATCGATGGCCATTCGAAAGCCCATACCACTGTATAGCCAAGCGAGAGAGACTGAGCCTTTTCCAATTTCTCTAGCACTTAGTAAAATCAAGGCTTGTAATGTTGGAATCGTTGGCTCTTGGTGCATGTCTTTGCTAAGAAGTAGTCGAGCTCGGGCAAGGAGCTCATCACTCAGGTTCCGATCAGTGAAACGAGTCGAGTGAAGACAAATGACACAGAGCAAAGCTGGGGAGAATAGAGGCCCTCCGATGGCACAGTCTCTCAGGAATACTTGACGTGGAACGAATAGAAAAGTTGGGTGTATATAGATCCAATGGATTTGCAAAAGATGTGCAACCTTATCTGGGGGAAGATGGAGGTGCACAGCAGCGCTTTGCATCGCGGCTTCTTCCCAATATTGAATTTGCGCGGGAACCTGGCATGTTCCCAGCGAATGATCCTGCCATGAGTCAGGGTATTGAGTTCTTTCGGTAGCGGTTCCTGACTGCCTAGGATCTTTGATTGCTGACGTCGAAGGGAAGTAAACTTCTTGGCTGATACTAGCATCGGCTTGGCTGCTCTTCTTGATATCTTGAGACGCATTAAGGACTGACGGTGGACTGGTCTTGTACTTTGGCTGGAGTACTGCGTGATGCGCAGAACCAGATGTTCGCAAATCCTCGATGGTCCGTTCTAGGATGGCAACTTTCTCAGCCATAGCCAAGATCTGGCTCATCGGCGGCGGCTTGTCATAAATACATTTGTCGTTGTAGACTTGACAGATGCCGCACATTGGCTGGTTTCCATCGCATCTCATTTTTCTTGTCCGACAATTAGAGCATGTGAGGTGGTAAGCCTGCCGTTGTTGACGTGTAGTCTGGCGAGCCTTTTCGAATCGTGTCTTTGGCATGTCTGCAACTGGATTGACGAACAGCTATATCAAGGAATCGGAAGGGACCTCAGTGTCTAGGACGATACACCACATGATTGTGACGCTGAGAGCACATTGTAATGAATGAGCTCGTACGAAGTGTGACATGTAGAAGGACTAGCAGGAATACGTAAGTATGGAGGATAAACTGGGGCCAGCAGATGCTAAGGTTGCTAGCCTGGAACTGGGTGCGAGCCGAACCATTGGGTCGAATCATGAGTCCGTATCGAGCATAGCCAATTTATGGCGGGCGTAGCCTGGCAGCTTATGTAAAACCCTCAGCGGGAGATTCAGCCATGAGGAATGGACTATAAACATCGAAAGGCCGCTGCGCCTGGCATGCGTACTTTATTAAACATATTATGAGGGCCATGAATCCACACACTAAGATTAAGAGCCGCATCAAAGATCCATGCAACAGATAGCACAACTACTAGAGGTTCCAATGTTGTTGTTGTGTTAGCAAGCACGCGGCTACACTAATAGATTTCTAGTGTAGGAAGTGGGTAATTACCTCAGCTTCAACGTTTTATGCAGTGGTACGTGAGTGATCCAAGACCTTACGTAAGCCTCAAGAACACCTCAGGCTGCAAGACCGCCCCCCCTCATCTCATCCATCATACTACTCATCATCCATCAACATCATCACGATTTTGAAGCTCTATGACCACTCCACATCCACCTTTCATGGATAGATACTTGGCATTAGCTCGTGGTAAAAACGCAGGCCAAATAGCGACTGCGTCAGCTAGGTCAAGCATCCAGCTGGCTGATTTCCTTTCAGCAGCTCAAACAGAATGTTAACGACGGCAATTCCGCTCTGTGACTGGTTCTCTGCCGTTGATGCCCCAACATGAGGTGTGACAACAACATTTGGACACGTGAGAAGTGTATTCCCATAGTTGTCCATGGACGCCGGCTCAATCGCCAGCGCATCTAACCCTGCGCCAAATAGTTTCCCACTCTTCAATGCAACAAGCATCGCCGATTCATCAACGATTCCACCCCTTGCACAATTCAACAGAATGGTGTCTTGTTTCATCAATTCGAACTCTCTTGTCGATAGCATGTTCCGCGTCGAGTCCAAGAGCGGCACGTGAAGACTGATGACGTCCGCAGTCTGTAGTAGCTCATCAAGAACAGCCGTTCGCTTGAATTTGTCGTTTGGCAGACTCTCTTCCCAAGCTCCATCTTTTGCGTACGGATCGTACGCGATGATACGGCCTTCCATGGCTGATATCCATTTTCGTGCAACAAAGAGGCCGATGTTGCCCATTCCAATCAGTCCGATTGTCTTGCGGAAAAGACTTCTGCCCAAAGCCTCACTTCGGACGACAACTTCTCCATTTCGGATTCGACGATCAAGTTCGGCGATTCGGCGACTGACAGAGAGAGCAAGACTCAATGTGAGTTCTGCAACAGCCTCGCCATTGAGACCGGGTGTATTATAAACCTTTACACCATGAGCTTTCGCCGCTTGAACGTCAATGTTATCGACGCCGACGCCTTGCTTGATGATGTATTTGAGAGTACGTTTACTTTTCTCAATATCCGATGCCTCGATTCGTGTCTGACTTCTCACGATGATTGCTGTCGCATCCTGGTGATAATTGGCCTTGGCTGGATCAGATGGTAAGACGAGGTCGATGTCATTGTGTTCTTTCAACAGAGCGATAGCATCTTTGTGGTATGGGTCGACAACGTATACTTTCGGAGGCATATTTGGACCTTGAATGTGTAAGAAGTCAAACACTGTGAGGGTTGTTCAATCTGAAGTGTCTCTCGTGCTCTGATATGATATGCTTGGAGTGAGGAGCAGGTGATGCTAGTCGATTTGCTAAATCGGCATAGTCCGCCTCTCAGCTTCGGTGGGGTCAAGTGGAATACTTCCACGGAGATTGTCCGACAGGTCCACAACACACGGACATCACCAAGCAGCGCCGGAACCGCACATGTCTATATGCCTTGTCGGTCTGCGCCGTGTGGGAATTATGGAATGATGACTGAGAAAGACAAAATACTTTAATGCCCCCTTGAAGTGCCCGACTCTCTTCTCATAGCACTTTCTAGTCTGATACGCAGTCTCTTTGATATATCGATTTACTGGGCGTGAACAATAACTCTTTGACGTTCATCACAGCAGGCAAAAACATAAAACACTCCGCCATGTTGGATCATAAGGCTATTGTCCATGGACTCTCACCATACTCAACGTATAATCGATCATCAAAAATCGAAAGCTCCATCTAACTCTTGGCGGCAGTTGCGACATATCAGATGCTCTATTGAAGCTCAATCAGCCGTACGGCGGGTACGTATAAGCCCCAGTCATATATCTACGCACGCAACCTGCAGAGCATGGATAGCCCTTGGCCAACAGTCCCAGCTTCCTTCCAGGCATACAGCTTTTCTCTCCCACCTACCTCGACGCAGAGACCAGAATCGTCGGCCCAGCATACACGGTCAAATTTGTTCCAAAGTCAGACACCACATCTCCAAAGCTCGAGACCCATTACGTACATATCCTTGCCCATACCGTCGATGCTTAAGCTGTTGACACGAATATCAGATTGACACCATACCCGCCTCCTCAATCATATTCATCTCCTCCCCACCCAATGCCTTCAACGCCGTCTACGGAGGCCTCATGTCGACCCGCGCCGTCTATTCCCGCGCCGCTGGCACCGTCATTGACGGCTGTTTGCGCGACCTACCTGCGCACCAAGCCCTCAAGTACCCTGTCTTCGCACGCTCCGTTGTCACGCCCGCCTACTACGAGGTCGCAAGGCCCAGCGCGGTCAATGAACCACTCGTGTTTACGTATCCTCCTGGTGTGAAGGGCGTAAACGGGCCTACTGCAACGTGCATCGACGCAGGCGATTGGATCGTGGGTGATGCAAACGGTGTTGTGTATATACCCAAAGGGATGGTGCAGAAGGTATTGGAGATGCTGCCAATTCAGGTCGAGGCGGATGAGAAGATGGACGTGGAGCTTGCAAAGGGTATGAGCTTCGAGGAGGCGAGGAAGAAGTTTAGGGGCTGAGAGACCGAGGTGGAGTGACAAGTATTTTGGAAAATTTGAAAGGAAGTAGAATAAAGGCCATTCGCAGGGCCAGATTTTGTCGATGTAAGCTTCTGCAATGCACAAGGTGGCCCCAGGCAACAAACCGTTGTGTATTGGAATTAATGTGAACTCTACAAACTTGAAAATACATGGCGACAACTGGGGCATTCCAGTGCCGCGTTGAAAGGCTTACAGCATAGGACAAGCTATGGCCCATGTGTAGTTATAAGGTGGCTTCTAATAAGCCAAGGTCTTTGCCGTACCCTTCTACGAAACCGGTGGAGGCAAGACGATTAAAAGCGGTGAACAACACGTTGAATGATGTTCCCTGTTGAATGCCTTCAAGTGCCTTGCTACGTTGTGTATAGTCAGGTATCAGGGGCGTTACAAATTGCGGGGATCTCCACACACAACACCGGCACGTACACGTTCCAGCCTAACACTGGCACAATCATTGGGTTTTAATCATGACATCAGCTACGCCTCAGCACCAACGTTGGACCTAGGTATACCATAGACAAGTTGGACAGATTGGACGAGTGGGAGCCTTATGATAGCTCTTAAAGCGTTTATGTATCGCGAATTTGTTTGTCAATTCATAAATCTAACTTTCCACTTACTTTCTTTATCTATTTGTACTATCGCACGTGATAACATCGAAATGTGTCATTATATAACCCTCTTAGAGTGCTATTAAGGATGCCTTCTGCAGCGTCGCCACATTTTCTTGGATATTTAATGTGGCCAATACGACAGAGCTCGAGTAAGTGGACAACGCCGGCACGACGTAAGTTGGGTTAGAGATTACAGCGGACAAGTCATCGTAAGAGGGTCAACCACAACCCCTGGAAACTACCCAAGTTGCCTGGCGGGATCACGTGTGAACAGTTGCATTGCCGTCAGTAGTTGGATTGCGCTTACCAACTCGAAATAAATAGTCTCCATGCTCCCAATCTTCTCCCAACTGGGATGAGACATATCATTACTAGGGTAGTCGGCAGTACAGCGGCCGGGAGCTTAAGAAAGACTAGATGTGGAATAACGGAGACCGTTGTGCTGTGGACACTGTTGATAGTTAAATGCTGTACTTCAAGGTGTGAGTAATATACTTTCTGTTCCGATGTCAAGAAGGGCTTCTTCGACTGTTGTATATCTTTGTTTCCCCAGTCTAAGACTACGCCCTTCAAAGCATAGAACCTTCTTGGATCTGGACATTGTCTTTGAACGAATGCATCATAAATCTCATGCTCTGGAGGGCCATGATTAGGCTTTCGACCTGTCATCAACTTATGTATTACAGAGCCAAGCGCAAAGAGCTCTAGTCGAATGTACAGGCCAGACCCGAAGCGAATCATCGGGTATAGGCAAATGGTAATTCGGTCCTCGCCAAAGACATGAGCGGACAAACTATTAGGTTGGCATTGACGAGACAGCCTGGGGAATGCCCTCATTGTCCATCACTTACTCCGGTATGCCTATAACCAGAGCAGATAGAATTCAACTGAATCAATTTGTACGAAATGTAGAAGTCGTAATTCATCATTGCCGTGCCTTCAGTCAAATAGTTGCAGGTGCCAAGCATAATACCAGGATGGTCCGGGAAGGTCGCGCAGGGTGACGCCACAACGAAGGATTAATTCTTCGTCTTACTAGCTTCGACTTAGAGAGTCAGCAGTAGTTGAAATCTAATTATCAATAATAGTTCACCTTCGGTCTCGATATCGCGTAATAAACTCTCAACGCCCGAGTAACTTCTTTCCCAGCACTTTGAAATGATAGATTGACAAATATCTAAGCCGTCTAGTGGAGGAAATTCATCAAGTGAATAGGACTTCTCGATTTCATCAATCGATAGATTAGGATACGGCTTAAATCCTGTCAGGATCTCGTAGAAAGTAGACCCCAGAGCGAATATCTCGCTTTGAACACAGACGCCCTTGATGTTGGGATGTGAATAGCTTGCCTCATAGAAGCACAGGTACGGCTCTCTATCAATGACTGAGCCTGCAAAATCGGCGACTTTCGCATTGAGATCGAGGTCGAGAAAAATATTATTACAGGAGATATCGGCATGAAGAATGCCTTTAGAATGGAGAAAGCATATAGTCGACGTAACTTGTTGAATCCAGCGAAGCTTTGTGGTAAGCGGAGTGGCCTCAGCGTTCTCCATTCGATACTGTCGGATTGAACCATGGTGGGCGAACTCTAAAAGAATCCCGTTTTCCACGGGACCGAAGTACCTTAAAATGCCATGGTAGCTTCCAAGGCGTTCGTATACTTTTCTCTCACGTTCAATGAATCGGACGTCATTAGGATGAGTCCACTTCACGACAGCATCCAAACGGCCGGCATATCCGGTCATCCCAGCACCGATTATATCATCGAGCTTCAGACCACATGGATACCACATCGACACCTCTGTATGCGGCACGGCCGGTAATCGCTGTTCCTGAGCATTCGTTTAGTATTGTATCATGGGATATGGGTATACCTTACGCTCATCTCGACTCAAGAGAGCTAGTAGAGTGTGAAGATCGAAGGTGTCTTCCAAGCTATGCGAAAGCTACACCAGGCAGTTCTTAATGTAGCATGAATATTGAGTCGAAAGAAGCTATGCCACTGTGAAGAGCACTAGACCCAAACCGGCTTACGCACGGGCCCATCGAGCGCTTACCTCGCCGTGATCCGCGCTTCTATTCTGAGGGCCATGGCAACTCAAACGACCTACAGATATGATTATGAGTCCTCTCCCGTTATTGTCCGGAGTTCTATGCGCCATTTGAGTGCTCTACTATGGTCAAGGAAAAATGGAATCAATCAGATAATGCTATCACAAGGTGGTGTCTTTAGCCAGATGCGGTCTGTCTGTCGATAATTAAGGGTTCCCCCGCATTCTCGGGTCTTAGAACCTACTAGGATGTAGGCATCGTTGCATCTAGCTTGACAGCGTATTTTTTTGCCTTCTTATCACGCCTAAGACGATATATACTATAGTAATTTGCAAGCATAGTGTGCGTTACTAATAATGTTTAGCGCACGAGCCTTTGGACCCATAACTTAAAAAGTCTTCATTCACCACACGACCCTTCATGACGACCATCCTTTATTTGGAACACTGAAGAAAAACAAAAAGGCGAGCCTGGGGCTCGAACCCAGAATCTCCTGATACTCTACGAGGTCGTAGTCAGACGCATTACCAATTATGCCAACCCACCATTTGTTGAGGTGCCACTTTGAAGCTCACAAAATATTCTCTTGCAAAGATGTATATTATCTATACCACTGCGCGTTCCAATAGTCCCGGCTAACCCGACTCGGAGGGTGACGAATCATTCGCTACAGGTATTAACACAATGTCTGACGACAAACGTGTCTTTTATCCTTTATTTCTTTTATCTAAGGCAATTCTTTAATCAAATCTACTAATATGATTTACAACCCTAGACCGGAGCCATGCAGAACCCTACAGCCAACATTAAGTGTGACTCATCCACGTTCGTTGGCTTCGCTCTTCTTAAAAAATCACAAGTACTCTTTCAACAAACTAGTGTTCAAGATCCGCAATGTGAAATATATGAAGTGATTGCGAGCGCAGAGCGGCTTCTGTCACATTTGTTCCACTGGCTCGACCTCGACAAGAGAAAGAACATGCACGACTAGTACAGTCTCTCCCGGTCAGACTGTATGTTGCAGATAACAATCGGTGTACGTCAAGTGCTCGTCATGGTCAGGTCTCCAACACAACGGTCTACAAAACCTCGAATTACCGACACTTACTTCATACCAATCAAGGATACAAGGCTTCAAAAATTTTACAAGGACACCGCGTGGAAACAAACATGACTAATCTCATCTGTGGCATATACATAGTGATATCTCTGTACTCAGCAGAAGATAAGAGGCAGTTCGCATTAGCTCAAACAGCGTTCTGAAAACCGCCGATGAATAGTTGGCGAGAAGCGGCTCGAAAAGACAATGGCCACAAGTCAAAAGGTTGCAAAAGCTTGATCTTCGTTCATGGTCTCGAATCTGCTTGAACAGAGTAGTCTTGACGCAGAAATTATTCGATTCAAAAAGCGATATCTACAGGTGTACCTCAACAATCGGACCCCGATATGCTTTTTGCCCTATGGCCACATACCAGATTGCAGCAAAGAGCGATACGAATCCAAATACAAGTACGCTAAAATTCATATTCTGTGGAGTGACTGGCGTGCCTGGGGGCCAGAAAGCCCAGAACCACAACAAAGCAAGGTAACAGCATGCAAAGGCATTGTTAAGCGTCCCTATGAATCCTGGGATGCTCCAAGGACCCCATGAAAGGTTTCCTGGGCCTACGAGCGATGTGTCGGAGCTATAGGGTCTGATACCACCTGGTTGGAGGCGACGCCAGAGCAAAAGAGCAGCACTCAGGAAGTAGGAAGCGTAAAGTCCTGCGATACTGAGGTTGACAATGTTGTTAAAAGCTACGCTAGAGCCAAGGATGATGAGCGATAAGAGGACAGAGATTATGGTGGTTACAGCGATCGTGTAGATGGGAATCGACGTGCGAGGATCGAGCTGACCAGATATTAGTTCAAAGAAGTGCCTTGGACGAATGAACGTTGATATCCTTACCATAGTGAGCTGTCTCCAAAATGGTACGCCTTGGTCTCGGGCGAATGACCACAACTGGCGGGACGAGGAAGCAAGTACTCCTACAGTACTGCAGATTCCCAAAACGACAATTATGATGCCCATGACCGCAGTCCCTCCGGTAGATCCTGTGGCATTGTAGAATACATATAGAAAAGTGTATCCGTACCGAGTTGTTTCATCTAAAGCTGTCGCGAGATCGCCTAGACAAAAAAGGTAGGCAAGCATCATTGCGAAGCCCAAAATACCGTTCAGCACAATACTGATGAGAATCGCTCGCGGTACGATTACGGATGCATTCTTGATTTCTTCGGCCATCTATTCGATCAGTCAGCAGTTGATCATGTTTCACACCTAAAGATCACTTACATGGACTGCCGAATCTGCTCCAATCAAGGAGAAAACCGACGCGGGGAGTCCGACCATGAAGGAAAGCCCCTGAGTCTTCCAGCCGCCGCTGTTGACGAACGTAGTGAAGAACGAGGTATCGCCATGCGGTCCAAGGTACACCAACGGGATGAGGATACCAAGGAAACCAAAAATGTGTAGGATGAGAATGACACCCTCGAAGTGTGCAAGAGTCCTACTCGCCACAGTGTTTATAAAAACTGCAAATGCAAGAATGGCCCACAGAAACATCATGGCCTGCCAAGGCTGGGGGACATATGTAGGATGGGTCAGAGCTATCACACTTTGAAGCAGTGTTCCTATCAAATAAGCTGCTGAAGCCACTACAGCTTGCCATCCAGCGGCCGTCATCCAACCTGAACTTGTCAGTGGTCTCAATCATTGAACATCGCCCATGAACAAACCAGTAATGTAGCTTAAAAATTTGCTACAGCTTGGGGGAGATAACATTGCAACCCAATGGTACTGCCCTCCAGCAGTGGGTGCCATAGATGCCAATTCTGACAATGTTGTGAAAGTTGACAATGTGCCAAGCCAAACAATGATGTATCCCCATATCACTCCAGCAGGTCCCCCGCTAGAATTTGTTAGAGACAAGGAAGGTACAGAATCACTGCAATGCGTACTTGGCGAGGCTCGCCGTGGAGACGCTAATCCACTATCAGCTACATGTGGTATCAAGTGATTTTGCGAGCGATACATACATTAGCATTCCCTCCCACGTAATCAAGACTGTGCAAGAGAACCCCAGAATGGACATGAAGCCGAAGTTGCGCTGTGTGATATCAGCAAAGAGTCGTATATCGTCTCCAAAATCGATACCAGCTACCATACCTTCAACACTGGCTTCTTCCCGACTCTCATGAGGTCTCGCGCATCATTGCTCAAGATGCTCTCATGACCCGCATCGTCGACTGATGCGACTGACGCATTCTTAGAACGATTCTGGAGCTCCATCCTGACCGAATGTATGGCTTCGCAGAACAGGTCTTCCGTGGTAAAATCAATTGCATGAATTGAGGTCAAATGAAGAGCACTGTCGCATACTTGGGTCTGTAGATGCGAAATTAATTCCAACAGAAGCTTGGACTGAGCATTTGTCGCGTGGCGTAAGCCGCCGATACTATCCATGCGGCATGGGGGCTGGTCCACGCTATACATTAGCTTGGGCCACGCATAAATGCCTACGGGCACGCACATAGACTGCGGCCCCAGTATGGCGTGATAATCCTTGACGCTCTCTAGTCTTCGCAACCTCAAACCACATGCCAATCTCTTGAAAGATATCGTAGAATGCTGAGAGCATGTCCAGCTTTGCTAGCCAGCTTTGCTGTACTGCGGCCTGCAGCCTGCATCATTTAGACTCCCATGTAACAATGACCTGGACCCATAACATTCCTATTCGGACCTACTGTCGTCAACTAGACCATATTCGACAATTGCGAATTTTAGCCTTGAATGCTGACGCGAAATCTCAAGTTCGCATGGCATAGCACACGGCTCCTTCGATCCTGCATCTATAATGTTCTACGCTTGAAGTGGGACACTCTGACAGACAGACTGAAAGATTAGCCGCTCAGGCAGACTGTAAATACCCTAGGGACCATATTCAGTCCATGCACGTTCGTCCTTGCACGGTCCGAAATCCATCACGGCTGTCAATCTTTTGATTCTAATCATGGCGACTCTTTTGCTCCCGAGAGATAGGCCTACAGTCACCGACGACAACCTCTCCGCTGTTGTCCAAATTCTCGCTATCCTTTTTCTCTCCTTTTCAATCGTCGCAGTTGCCGTAGAGGCCACAACGAAACGTGCCATCTCCAAACGATTTGCCAACGGCGACTATGTACTCTTTGGGGCTCTTATCTTATGCATTGCTGCTACTTCTACTCTTTTGAGTCCAGCCGGTCGAAGCGTTGGTAACTCAATCGCCAATGTAGCACCAGCGACGGCGGAGAATGCTTTCAGGGCAAGAGAAACTCAACATACAAACCCCGAGAGACTACTGATTGTCTGATTGTAGGCTGTCTACGCAGGTGCCATGTTGGACGTAGTGGCTCTGGCTACGATCAAAGTTGCGATGCTATTCGCGTTCCATGGTATTACACCTGTCAAGATACATCGCTATGCCATATACGCTGCAGGACTTGTCACACTCGCGTGGGCTATCTCAGGGCTATTCGTCATTGGTTTTCAGTGCGATGGTCCTGATCGCTGGGTGCTGGGTAAGACTAGATGCATTGAACTGGTCAGTAAAGTCAATTGCGGAAAGTGGAAGATTGCTAATCTATCAAAGACTGGCACAAGAACATACATAGCAGCTGGGAACATACTAACTGACTTAGCTCTCATAGCCATTCCAACAGCAGTCATCTCGAGAGTGAAGTTGCCCCTCACAAAGCGTCTAACTTTGCTGTCAGGCTTCTGGGTGCGACTGGTGTGAGTAATCTACAACATGCAAATTGAGCACATGTCTGACTGGTCTACAGCGTAATTGGTGTCACAACCACTCAAATCGTATTTCTTCAGGAGCTCAATTATGCGGACGACAACTTGCTTCAAAACATTTGGAAAGTGGTAATTTGCAGAGAAGCTGTACAGTGCAGCAGCATTATGACTGCCTGCATCCCCTTTTTGAAGCCATTCATGGGTAGCCTGCAATCTGGCTTCCTTCGAGCAGACGATGTAAAGCGTCGAAATGCTGCTGGCATCACTTTGAATGGTAACGAGTCAGATTGGTCCTCACGATATGTAGAGATTCAAAAGCAACACACCAACTCCTCGCTCCGTCTTCAATCTTTGACCGTTCAGAGTAATCATTCGACACCTGGGACCCCTCAAAATCCTGTCTGAATCAAAAATGTCATGTTTTGCAAGAGGTTATATACCGTCAGTTCGTAGTGTACCTCATTTCTTTCGAAATCGAACAAAGTAAATCACATACAGTTGCAGCCCATATGTGACTAGAAGCTCAGGTCATACACAAGCCTAAACAATGGCTGATCCGGTCGTCGTGTCATCAAATGTAACCATAGTAGATTCCCTGCCACTGACGAAAGACTTTGGCAAATCTCCACACAAACCATCTCTCGAAGTATCCTCGTTCATTGGTCGGGAGCTCTGCACTCATGCGAGGACCAACATATTCTCTAGTATATAATATATATATGCGCGCGTGTGTGTTGACAATCATTCTAACTAGATGAGACCACGAGCCATGGATCAGACGTCCTATTCGCCCTATGAGATGCATTGTATTTGTTACCACAAGCTCATACAACCAGTTGCTCAGGTTCGAAAGTAGCTGAGCACATGATATCCTTGAACTTCACATAAGAACGTAATGAAAACAACCATTCATCTCTATTCATACTAGTGCGCCTGTATTCTGAGATGTCAAGGTACCCATGCTCCAGCATCATCTCCTAGTCTGTTGCCACCCCGGGATCGAACACGGGTGGAAAGAGGACCCCTTACTTTGATTCTACACCACCTATGTCTATAGTCAGGCGTAGAACAATACATTGATAATGTTTTGATAGTATGTGTATGAGGTGCAACATACCATCGAACAAAGGTGGTACTGGACTAGCACGCTTTCTGTCCACGCCACCGTCGAACAAAGGTGGTACGGGGCTACTACGCTTTGCGTCTACACCACCATCGAATAGAGGTGGGACTGGGCTGCCTCGCTTTGAGTCTACACCGCCATCAAACAGAGGTGGGACTGGGCTGCCACGGCTCTCAAATGCTGCACAGGCTGAGTAAAAGCACCTCAATCTTGCTTTATTGTATGGACGTACCGAGCGGAGCAGCGCATGCCATAGCTGTGAAAAGGAGGACTACAGAGTAAGCCTTCATGATGTTTGATAGGTGGTATGCTTGGTTTCGAAGAAATAGAGCTGTAGAGTATATCTTTAGGCAAGAGGTGATACTTAAATAATTCTTTCGCTTATCAAATAGTGGACGGAACGTGGTCGGACGACCTGCAATTGAGACGGAGATACACATGGAACTAGGAATATACATGCAAGGTGATTCTTGCACCGGTGACTTCCGTTCGCATAATGCAGAATCTTGATATCAGTGGCGAATGGATTTCTAGAACTCCCCAACATCGGCTAATGTGTAACCCCACGGGCCCATGGCCTTCAGTGAACAGTACAGGGTGTGACTAACGGTAGGGGTCCGTAAGAACGCCAATATGTTAGTGCGCATACATGACAATTCTCGGAGCCACGAGCTAGTAATGGTGCTTGTAGGACGGTAGACGATCCCATACCAAGTTTTTATTCTAATCTTCTTCTTAGCTAGGTAGTTGCATGCAAGATAGAGGTAAGCCGTGGAATCTCACCCTTCTTACTCTTCGCCAATATCTAGGAATATACTGTTTCTCTCACGGCTTCTTTCATCACCATTCGGACTTCTACAAGTATGGAAAGGTCAGAATTCGAACATATTCAAGATTTCAAAGACTCGCAACCTCTTCTAGAGGAGAGTGAACCTGTCAGCAGGAGCCAGAAAGCGTTCAAGCTATCATGGAACACTATTTTCACAACCCTAACAGGATTGTACATCCTGATATCGGCACCTTTCATTATCTGGCTGTTAAGGAATCGCATACCTCAAACATATTGTACGTATATCAAGGCTCTTAATATCTGGCAACCCGACTGACAAGTCCATTTATAGCCCCTGCTGCTCGTATTCTCTCTTACTCGCGCCAGCCATTATATTTCGGCGAGGAGAAGAAATACACAGGAGTCCCCGAGGACGTAGACGACGCATGGGATAACTTGCTTGCACGTAAGCTAAACACTTTCTGCGCTATATTCTTCTGGCTTACTGGTACCGATTAGCTATGAACATTCGTGCAACCAAGAAGGAACTAGAGCAGGCTCGTGCAGACTTTGGAGAAGACAATGTTCTGCTTACAGACGGCGATTATGTCTCCGTTCTGTCAGTGTATCACGAGCTACACTGCCTCAATGCTCTTCGAATGAACATCTATCACGACCACTACTATCCGAACATGACTGAAGATGAGTTCAAGTACAACATCGAACACATGAGTATGTTTTACGCTCGGCGTGTGATCTCAATTCGCTGATTCTTCTTAGCCCATTGTGTTGATACTATCAGACGCAGCCTGATGTGTAAGGCAGACGTAGCCCTGTATTCGGCCTACTGGATCGGTGATCAATATACGTTTCCCAGCAAGGAGCTCCAGTCGAACTCCGACACGGTGTGTGTCGATTGGAATTCGATCGATGCCTGGTCAAGGAAACGGCTCCTACCCCGGAACAAGTACAAGGTAAAAGCAGGCCCGTTCGAGGGAAAGGCCACGAATAAGGACCATGAGCACCCCCATGAACACCCCCATGAACACCCCCATGACCAACAGACTTGAGTGATGATCGTCGTGCAGCAGGATGGGTGTTTATCCTGGTTTTAAGCTGGTGGGGCTACATTGGTGTACATGCGGCGTAGAACACCTAGCGTGCCGGTTTAGCCCGAGATGTGCGCAACTAACACTATCTGTGTCAAATCGAAATGATATGCAGGGACATTTGTAATCCCGGATATCGTAACATGTATGGTGACCCGGGTGCACTGTTGGTGGCGCAGTGGTTATATCATAACTTTGCTCCAAAGCTCAGCAAGTCTGAACATACACCTACGACGCCCTAGCACCATGATGGTATCCAACACAGAAGGCATCGCCTCCTTTGCTGTTCCCGGGCTTGACAAACCCTGCGAGACCTGGTACAAGGTGGTTGGAGATCTCGCGTCCCCTAAGACTCCTTTGATAATTCTGCACGGTGGTCCCGGGGCTTGCCACGACTATCTCCTTCCTCTCTCAGATATTGCATCCCACTTTCCATTGGTCTTCTATGACCAAATAGGCAATGGCAAGTCAACTCACTTGCCTTCCAAAGCCGGCGACGAAGCATTCTGGTCTGTTGACCTCTTCCGCGCGGAGTTGGACAATCTACTCGAGCACTTGGGCATCTCGGACCGCACAATAGATGTCTATGGCCATTCGTGGGGTGGAATGCTTGCGGTGGAATGGGCTGCCAAGTCTCCTTCGGCTGTAAGACTGCGCCGTCTGGTGATATCCAACAGCTTGGCCAGTATGACAGGATGGAGACAAGGGATGTCCCATCTGCGCAGTCAAATGCCGGCTGACCTACAGGCAGTGCTCGACCGCGGCGAACAGGAGGAGAATTTCGAGACTCCCGAGTATGAGGCTGCCATGGATGTCTTTTACCAGCGACACTTCAGTCTGGCGCGACCATGGCCGTGCAAGGAAGTCAGTGTAGCGCTGGAGTGGTTTGGCAAGGATATGACCACCTACGGTACAATGTAAGCAGGTCACTGCTCCAGGTCTTACTACGCACTGTTCAGACACCGCCCTGCTCAACATGCTAATCGTGAGACATTCAGGTACGGTCCGAGCGAGCTATACATCTCTGGCTCCCTCCGCGACTGGACGTCGGTTGCGTTCCTGCCGGACATCAAAGCTCCAACCCTGCTGATCAATGGAGCGCAAGATGAGGCCCAAGATGTAGCCATGCAGCCATTCTTCGACCTGATTCCCAAGGTCAAGTGGGTCAAGCTGGACAATGCAGCTCACTTCTCGCATGTGGACCAGAGAGACCGTTATATGCAGGAGCTAGTTCAATTCCTTGATGTACAGTGAAACCAGCCCGTGCGCACGCTTAGAAGGAAGGTCTGTCAGGAGAACGAGACTGGATGTTAGGAAGTTCCGTGATGACACTAAAAAAACCACTTCCTCATCTTAGACTAGTCCCGATTGTTGTTAATACTGGTGAATCATCTTGCACTGAACTGGGTAGACGTTACTCGGCATGGCACTGGCATCAGCAGCCAAGTTGTAAACCATGCACATAATACAGGTCTGATGGGTTCTGGCTTCATTGGCGTTAGGGGAGGTCCGAGCGACGAATGCTTAACAGACGCCATGTCATTGTCAAAACACAGACTGTGGGGAACTTGCACAAGCCTGACGGTCCGTTTTGGCGTCGCGCGGCCCGTTAGTCTGCAGGGATCACGGAGCGCGCGAGTTGTGCCCATTGCAGATGTGCCGCAGACCTGATGCGGACACGCGCGCACGTGGGGGTCTCAGCGGCGGATAATAGGTACTGAAGTCTGCATGTTGGTAGTTTTTTTTCTTTTCCTCTAGACACTTTTGATGTAAGCCCAGAATCCTATTTCCTCATTTGTAGTATTCGCTTGGTGGCAATAGCGACTAAATAGTTCAAACCAACACGCTCGCTTAATACTCTCAGCCTTTGACAGTAAAGGCCAACCAGGAGAGGCTTATGATGCATGATATCACATTGATAGCTTAGTTGAACCAACATCCGCCACTTGTACATGATGGCACCCCATCCAGCAAACACAATGCCCAGACAACCTGCAGAACACATTGATGGCAAGCCTATACTCTCCTACCCAATTCGTCCAGGCGGCAAAGCGCCGTCCGCTAGATCATGCCGAAAACCCACAAACCGATTTCCAAGCATCATTACACCATAGGCGCTGGACCAAGTCGGAGCGTGGCACAGGACTAGACGGGAAGGACCCCCACCAACTTCCTCACGAAGGATTTATTGACGTACCTATTGTGCTGCTGTCGACCTCGAAACGTAATCTGCCCCTGACATCTCGCGTGAACCACAGACAACCACTATCCATCTAGTGTCTGATATGGAACGTTCGTCAGAGAAGCCACTCGGTAGCTTGACCACGCTACGTGGTGATGTCCAGTGTCCCGGCTCAACGAACGAGTCCACGCCAGCCAGCGAGTACCCTCGTCGCGCAACCCAAGACGAGATTCGGGATCTTCCGCACGACATTGGTGCCGTGCCTATCACAGCCTGGCTTCTGTGTTTTACGAGTGCGGCTTCACGTTTGGCGTGGTATGGAGTAACAGTGCCGTGGCGTAAGTCTGCCCGACAATATTCCAATGATCGATACAGATATATGAGTCTGTGACTGAGAAAACTCATTCCATAGAGAATTACCTCCAAAATGCGCGAGGAGATGAGCTGGTACCCGGAGCTTTGGGCCTGGGGCAAGCAAAGTCGACTATAATCCAGAACACATTTCTGTTCTTCCAGTATCTGACACCACTGCCGTTTGCTATCTTGAGTGATGCGTTCCTGGGCAGATATAGAGTAATGGTCATCAGCTTAGGGTGTGTTGAGACCAGATAATAAGAACTGGAGATGGGAGACTGACCGAGTTCCAGGCTATTGCTTGGTGGCTATACAGTCATGTTTGCGACGTCCCTTCCAGATGCGCTCGAGGCAGGAGCAGGAGTTGGCGGTCTTGTGGCGACGATGTTGTTGATCGGGCTTGGACAGGGTGGTCTATCAGCCGTGATGTACCCTTTTATCGGTTAGCATAATCCAAGTTTTCTTCGTCGATTGCCAACTAACAGTTCACAGGCGACCAAGTCCCGGAAGAGAAACCTATGGTAACTCTGAAGAAGGGAAGACTAGTTGTGATCGATCGGAAGACAACTATCCAATACGTGTTCAACGTGTATTACTGGATGGTTAACATCACAACTCTGGCCGGCATAATACCATCTACCTTCCTAGAAAAGCACATCGACTTCTGGGCTGCATACCTGATGCCCACTTGCATTCTTGCGCTGAGCGTTGTGCCTGTCCTATTATGGAACAAGAGTCTCATGAAAACTGAGCCAAAAGGTAATGTCATGACCAAAGTATTCCATATCTTCGCCATAGCTATTCGTAACAACTTCCGGCTCTCCGCTGCATCTCCAGCACATTTCCAGCACCACGATGATGAGACAGTCCCCTGGACGGACAAATTCATCGACGAGATCCGCCGCGGCCTCAAGGCCTGCCGTGTAATCATCTGCTTCGTCATATTCTGGTTGTGCTACAATCAAGCCACGAACAATATCATCTCGCAAGCTGGACAGATGAAAACGCATGGTGTGTCGAACGACACGATCAACGCACTGAACCCCGTAGCCTGTATCATCCTAGGCCCATTGATCCAGAACGTCCTATTCCCATTCTTGCGACATCGGAAAGTTCGTTTTGGGCCGATACTGCGCATTGTGGTTGCGTTTTTGTTCACGGCGGCGGCTATTGCGTACGCGGCGGGCTTGCAGAAGCTCATCTACTCTGCTGAGCCATGTTTCGACCATCCACTGGCTTGTACAATGGAAAATGGATCAGGAAGTGCGCAACCGGGGCCAAATCAGGTGAATGTATGGCTGCAGACACCACTGTACTTCCTCCTTGGAATTGGCGAGATCTTGGGTCTTGTCTCACTGAGCGAGTATGCGTACGCAGAGGCACCGACCGATATGAAAGCGTTGGTTCAGGCTTTCCAACAGCTCACTGCAGCAATAGGTGCGGCTCTGGGCATAGCACTGGGTCCGGTCTCGAAAGATCCATGGTTGGTGGTCATGTATGCGTGTCTTGCTGGAGTTATGGGATTATGCGGCGGTCTTTTTTGGCTTGTGTTTAGAAGACTCGACGATGACTGGGAGAATGAGGACGATGGATCTCCTGAAAATGCGGAGAGAACAGAGTCATAGCCGGCGAACATAGAGAGTTGTGAGGAAACAGCGACCTAAATACGTGTTGCAATATTGAAAGAGAGCTTGTGATATGAAAAGCAAGATCAGCTACAAAATAAATGATATATCCCTCCAGATCCCTCCAGAAGGAGACATGAAACTGGCACAGCATGGGAAAATACAATCGAGTCCAGTCGACAGAAATTTATAAGCGAAGAGCAAGCAGAAGTGGCATTCCCTATGCCGCGATCAAACCTAGACTCGAATGCTTGAAGATAATGCGTTGCAACACCATACCAAGATAACGCACGCGCATATCGACAGAATCTCATATCCCTCCTGGACGCAACCCCAGAACCATAAATCTCACAAAGCAAACATCGCAAATATCCTCAAGTAACAAAGAGATATTTTAGAGAATGAACCGCGGAAAAAATGGCGCAAGCGGCGTAGAATTAGGCTTCAACGCCAAAACCGGACCAGCGAGTCATGCTAATTAATTAAACCGGGGGGGGTCTGGTATCTCCGGCTGATGAAACACGACAAAAAGACACCACCACAATAGCACGATACCGACGAAGGAAAACCCTCTACAAGCAAACACAGCAAATATCCGATAAACTGCCATCCTCGTTCACTTCGCCTGTTTCACGACATAATAATCACGGCTATCATCTCCTGGACCTACCTTACCTACGACCCTTACCAACCACATCCCACATCCGAGCGCCCCAAGCCACCCCGGACGGCCAAGCATATTCCTCCCGGGCTGCCCTATTCCAACCTCAACCTTCAATCTATTACACTTTCCCATTCATCTCAACACTATATTCTCGCCAATAAACTTATATAAATCATGTGAAGCACGCCCGCACCCGTCAACATACCACAGCTCGCAGCATGCTCCGTCCAAGCCAATACACCTCCCCCCTTCTTCAAGCCCGCACAACCCCAAGCCCCATTCAATCTATCCATCCCGGCAAACCCCACATCCGACCATCACCGCCAAAATACCCCGGCTCCCAGCACCCGCGCACGTTCCACCTCAACCCCAGTCTCCCAATATCACATTTATCACATCAACTAGTCCTTTTAGTCGTACGTACCCTGTGATCGACGACTACTGACAAGCGGATGGGATTGGGGGTCTCGGTCTTACTAGATTAGCAAACCGCAACCCAATCTCCCCTCCCCCGCAATTTTTGTTTTGCGGAGACAGCCGGGTTAGACTGTGCCTGTGTCTGTGTCTGTGTCTGTGTCTGTGTCTGTCGCTGGGCGGACGGAGACAGCCGGGTACAGTATAGGGCATGTCTTGTCAGGGTTTATTGTGGGGCTTTTTTAGGGTTCGTTTATTGGGAGGTTGTGCTAATGTGTGTGCGTATATGTGTGTATGTTTGAGAGCGAGAGAGAGAGAGAGAGAGTGTGTGTGTTTAGGTAGCTTAGGATGGAACAGAAGATGAATTGAAAAGTCGGAGAGAGAGACAAATTGCATTCACCAACGCGTAATTACGGATACAGAAACCCAAGAGCCCAGTCCCCAAGCGGCTCCATCATACGTACACAAACAGCAGCACGTAGACATCCAACGCCAAAAGGTGAATATCCCAAATTCAAAACCTGGTATTCATCCCAACTCCTACAATCTAGCCTTTACACTCATGCCTAACGTGTTAAAGGCACCGACAACATCATGTCTCAAAAACACATTGTCACAGGCAGCCTGGAAGACACCGTCCGCCAGCAACCTCTGCAATACAACTTCCTCGGCGCTAACACAAACATCCAAGTCCCCGTTTGGTTGTCGTGGGAAGATGATGACCTCGCCTCGGGGTGTCTCGCGCTCGATATACGGCTCGCGCAGCGCAACCGGGCGACCGAGCTCGCCGCCCCAGTCCGCAGCTAAGCCGTCTGCGAACATGGCGTGGTCGGTGACAAGCATGTCTATCGGTCCCTTTGGCACGAGGCCAGGGCAGAAAGGTGTTTGGAGCGAGAGGGCGAGGAGGCGCATGTATTCAGCCTCGTTGAATTGGGTGCCGAACGCACGGAGACTTCCTGCCACATTCGCTATGTTCTGCATGTTTTCTTGTGAGGTATTTGTAGGCGGGAGAAGCTTGTCCTCGTCGAGCGTGCAACGCACCAGGTCAACACAGGCGCCGAGGAAGTTTGGAGGAAGAGGTGGGTTGAGACGACCGCGTACGTTGAGTGCGGTGACAATTTGCGCGGAACGAGGGATTGGTGAGCGTGTGGAAGTGCCGCGCTTGGCGAGGTAGAAGCGTTGCCAGACGAAAGCGGTGACAATGTCGAATGTGCTCAGTCGGGCACCTTTAGGGGCTTTTGCCTTGACAACCTCCTTGAGTGCGTTGACCTGCGCAGGCGTGAAGCGCCAGATTCCAGATGTTGGAGTCATGAGCTGAGTGGCTTGCTCGGCAGGTACATTTGGAGGTAGAACAGCCTTGACGAATATGGAGTCGATATCGGCAAGAAGCTTCTCAGGGTCTGTTGGGTCGAGAAACATGTACGCGCCTAGAGACTTGCTTGCTTCTTTGAGCTCTTCAGGCTCGAGCATGCGCTCGACTTTGGGAATCAGGCGGTCGCGATTTGGGAGTCTGTATTGTCTAGGCAAGGGGAGAGCGCGTCCCTTTGCGTTCGTTATTTCCTTCGTATGGTGCGCCCATCGCAACATAATTTCTCTGCCTTGCGCAAGGTCGGTGATGAGATGTGATAGAGAGGCCACCCAGACGATACCGCCCCTGACATGGGTGATTTTTGCTACGAAGGTCGCTTCGCCATCCTCGTGGCATGGGAAAGGGTCAGGCCGGAGCTCCCTTAGGCCATCGCGATCGCCATCAGCAAATGGAAACCCGCGAGCTTCGAGCTCGGCAAACGAGGGAAAGCTGTAGTCTTTGCTTGCATCGCTGAAATGGAAGGCCACGCCTGCATAGGGAGCTGGTTGCAATTCGACGCTGAAGGCTCCACGCTCGTCCGTCCGTAATACACCACCGATTATAGGCTGCTCGTAGATTGTGCGTCTGAGCCCATCTCGCATATCTGCGTAAATTTGGTCGACATCGGCGCCCTGCCTAATGGGAAAGAAAAAGGAGACACTGTGATGAACTCGGGCGCACAGGTTTTCGACCGCGCTGCATCGCACATGGAAAGGCTGCACGTGTGCAACAGGCTGCACGAATGTAGTACCAGTACTGATCACCCGTGGCTGTGTTTCGGTCTGCATGGTTTCAATTGTTCAATGTTCCTAGCAAACGCTGGTAATTCTGAGGGGAATCAGGCACTCGTGCAAGATAAAGAGGCCATATTTGAGCTTCGTGCATGACAATTTTCGAGAGGTAATAAGCCTTCATTCATTCGACCGCTCAACCCCTGGATTAAAGTTCTGTCCTACACAGGCAAAGCCTGTGTTGATCCGGTGTGCATGAAGCCCACATGTCACGATGCATGTGAGAAAATCACAGAATCGCCGAGCTAGGCCGGAATACTGCGTGCTCGAGCTGCGCTTGTCAATGATCAGCACAACCATGTGGAGATACCCCAGATTTTGAATTGTGGGGCCCCACGAAAAAGGTGCTCCTTCTTCCTGTCATCACATCTTATTCACACGTCGCTGCCAGGGTTCCGCGGTTACTTAAGGATAAGTTTGCTGTGCTATATTCATTGTAGCGACATCATCACACTGTTTTTCTACCAGCATAACGCTGGGAAGGAATCCTTCTCCCTCGAGGCTGCATCCGCGCTGTCTCTACGCCTCTTACGCTATTCGCGCCATGCGGGTACATCGCCATCCTGCCGAAGTGCGAGCAACGATTCCTTCACATGTCTTCTGCTTCTCATATGGGGAACAAAGACAGCGAGAGTGTGTCCTGCAGATCTCCCGAATCAGGTTCGTATTCTTTGTTAGCCTTAGCCGCCGTTTTCAACTTCTGCGCTAGGGAGCAGACCCTAGCGCAGATGAAGCAAGTGACTAGCCTCTCGGATTAGACCAGTTTGTCGTATCTTCGTTTCACCCGACCGAAGCTAGGCTCTTGCAGCGTCCCGAACGTACGGTCGCAAGCTTTTGAGCGCGTCCCGTGATCGAGTCTTGGCCCAGTCTTCTCCAAGCTGGCTCCTATTGGTTGCCCATCTCTCTTCGGCCGTTGGGGACTGGAAAACTGCACGTTGCGGCCTCCGAGGCTTCGTGTCGGAATGGCCACATAGCTGCAGTCAAACAAAGCACATGGGTGCACCCTTTCATCTCAATCTAATTGGCTGGCCTGTATTCCAGTTCCTGAGTCTAGGCAGGTTCGTGGCACCGTGTATAATCGACTAATAATGATTCCACTAGCACGCATTGAAAGTGCTGCCGATCATAAGAAACAACGCCGCCGGCGAAGCGCTGTTCATTGAATAAACTCGAATCGTGTTCTCCATAGCGTATCAAGATAAGAGTAAGCTTTCTCGTGCTGTCAGAAAACGGTCCACTTTTCGTTGTACCTTGCTCTTGCTCATGCTCAAACATGGATTCAGTCACCACCATCGTCAAACCGGCGCCCTCTTGGGTTGGTCGCATTGTTGACCTGGGTCCTATCGATCAGATCGCACCCCGTTGCTACATGACAGATTTCTACTGCTTTCGATTGGCTCCTGGTGTAGAGCCTGCAGCTGTCGCTGAACGATTCCAAAAGACGATCTTTTCCGCCGTGCAGGAGATCCCTCAGCTCGCCGTGACCGTAGTACCGCGTAACAACAGTCGGGAAGAACTTGAACTACGATGGCTCGAAACGACCGGAGCTTATCTCGTCTTCAAAGATTACACGTCGCCGTTGTTGAAAGACCAGTGGCCACACGGCACATTCGACGACTTAGCGAAAGACCACTTTCCATATTCGAAATTGGAGAGATCGACTCTTATGGATGGATTAACGCGCATCAATGAGCAGGGTCTACTGCCCGGGCTGATGCTGCAGGTGAATGTAATACCCGGCGGTGTGCTCTTCGTGCATTCGCTTCATGTAAGTGCTTGATCCAGGTCTCAAGATTGACTGAACGTTTCCTCTGACGCGCGATCGTTAGCATACGGTTTGTGATGGTATGGGTCATTACATGACTAACACTGTCCTCGCCAAGTACTGTAGAGATACTCCAGATATGGAATCTGTTGTTCTCCCAATCGACTTCTCGGATCGTGCAAGTATCATCACCCCCGATCCCGCAGCTTCACTGCAAGACTTGCCAGACTGGAAGTTGGTGCCACCTGGTGAAGAGTTCCTCAATCCAACACACTATGAAGTTGCCGCTTTGCCGAAGCTTCGCTGTGCAATCTATTACATCTCAGAGGATCGTATCGCTAAGCTCCGTGCCACAATGTCTGTGGGTGGCCGCAAGCCTTCCGTCATTGAGAGCGTCGGCGCAGCGTTGTGGATGCATGTTGTACGTGCTCGCAACATAGACGCCAAGAAATATCCAGAAGCTAAGCTGTCACTGACGGTGAACTCTCGCACACGAATGAGCGAACCAGCCATCTCTCCAACTTTCTGGGGAAATCTGTGCGAGCCTAATGCGGTGGCACGTATGCACACAGCTGCATTTTCAGAATCAGACACCCAGTTCCTGCCCACTGCCGCCCAGAGAATCCGTGGCGCAATTGCTGCTGTCGATGCACCGGCTGTTCGACGTCTGGTTGGGCTACTTTCCCAACTCCCTAAAGCCACATCGCTGACGTGGAATGTCGACCGATGGCCGGGACCGGACATGCTGATTGTATGTCTGAATTCTCTGCCACTGAACGACCTGGATTTCGGATCTATGCTTGGGAACCATAGCGAGGCTGTACGTGTTCAAATTGGAGACATTGAAGGTAGACCTGACGGGCGGTGTATCGTGTTCCCCTCGAGAAAATGTGATGGAAAGGGCCTAGAAGTCATGTTGCAGTACGATGTAGATACCCTGGGAAGACTAGAAAAGGATCGCAGTTGGGGAGAGTTGTTTGAGAGAAGGAATTGATGGAGCGCAGAAAGTTGAGAGAGTTCTCCAGTAGTAATAATAATAATGTCAAGACATGAGACTACAAAGAGGCCCCAGTGTCGGGAGCGGCTGTAGAGGGCCCGGCGCGCTAAGGCAAAGAGTTATCCATCCGCATACGAGAGCGAAGACGAGCCAATCAACGGGCCCTGGCTGACGCAGATTGTTGAATACCCGTCCCACGCACTTCGGAGTTGTAACCTCCTTTACAACTCCGAAGTGCGTGGGACGGGTATTTGGCAAATCCAACATCCTTTCTAACGGATATGATATATTGTTGAGTTCACTGTGGCGGCAGAATCCATCTACAGACCGAAGAGAAAGCCATCATAAGCATGCAATGTTAACTTGACCGCCTGTCCGGACACATTCACCATCTTTTCCGCATTTTCAACACTACTGGTTGACTTGATGAGTTTGAAATCACACTTCATGTCGGCTGGGCTCTGCCAAGTCAAAGCCTCTTCATTAGACAAATTCATGACAGCAAGCACGCCATTTCCACTGGCACCCACTCTTTTGTACGCAAATACCGGACCTTCGTCGATATCAACTGGTACGAAATCGCCAAGTACAAGCGTATCAGACCATTCTTTCCGAAGTTGAAGCATGTTTCGCCAGAAGTTCAACACGCTGGCTGTATCCTTGTCTTGGTCGGAAAAGTTGCATTCCGCAACATCCGTGTTGATCGGAGCCCACGGCTTGTCAGCGTCCGAGAAGCCGGCATTTTTAGCGCCGTGACGCCATGGCATTGGAATGCGTCCGTGATCGCGAGCTTTGAGACGTACTTGTTGCATGACGTCTGACATATCAGGGTCTGCATGACCAGACTTCCATTTACGCTCAGCATAAATCTCGTTCCACAAACCCTTGGTCTCGATATCGGTGTATTGTTCGAGGTCAATATCCGCTGTGTAATTTGCAATGCCGATTTCTTGGCCCTGCATTATGAACACAGTACCCATGAGGCTGTTTAGCATGAGCGAAAGCATTTTCGCGACCTTGAAGCGATTCTTTGACGTGCCGTCTCCGAAACGAGTCACTGACCGAGCGGTGTCGTGGGATTCCAAGAACACTGTTGCCCAGGCACCTTTGCTGTAGGATAGGGCGGTCTGCCATTTCGTAACGGTCTTCTTAAGCATATGCGGAGTGACCGGGACATGGTGGAATTTGCCTCCCGGGCCGCCAACCGTATCGAGATCGACGCTGAAACCATTAGTATGGACTGCTACACATTTAGGCTGTGGTGGTATACGTACATGTCAAATTGAAAAAGCATACTAAGTTCCTTCCTCGCAGGCTCGACATATTTCCGGACCACCTCGGGATCCCTAGTAAATGGAACTTCGCCAACAGTCATGATATCTTTGTAAGCAGCAAGGACTTGGGTATTGATCTCATTGATGAACTCATGAATTCGCGGTCCATTACAATACAAGTCATGTGCTGGTTGGTATGGACCAGGTTTGGTGACTTGCACATTTGGAAGGCCTTCTGGCTTGGAAATCATGTTAATGACATCCATCCTGAAGCCTCCAATGCCTTTGTCTAGCCAGAATCTCATGTCATCATGCACGGCTTTCCTTGTATCCGGATTCTCCCAATTGAGATCTGGCTGCTCCGAAGCAAAGATACGCAGATACCATTCATCCGTGAGTTCGTCATAGGTCCAGGCACTTCCTTTGAAGAGGCTCTCCCAGTTGTTTGGCGGCCTGAGCTCAAAGGTCCCGTCTGGGTTGGTCTCTTTTGTGCCCTTTCGCCAAACGTACCAGTTCCGCTTTGGGTTGTCTTTGCTTGACCTAGACTCCTTGAACCAGGCATGCTGATCAGAGGTATGATTGACCACCAGGTCCATGAGAAGTTTGATATTATGTTTTCCAAGCTCTTTTATCAGCGTCTCAATGTCTTCCACCGAGCCATATTTGGGATCGATCTTGCGATAGTCGCTGATGTCGTAGCCCATGTCGACAAGGGGCGACTCGTAGCAGGGCGAGAGCCATACTGCGTCGACACCGAGACTAGCAATATATGGGACTTTTTGTATAATGCCTTGGATATCGCCTATGCCGTCGGCGTTGGAGTCTTTGAAGCTGGCTGGGTAGATCTGGTAAACAGAGGCTCTATGCCACCACTGGGGCGATTGGCCGTTAGGAGACATTGCAGTACAGAGCTGTAAGAAGGTATAGTTGTGATCTATGGTATGACGAAAGTCACAGCGCCGTGCAGCAGAAGGACACTATGAGTCGGAGAAGATGGACGAGCCATTGCGGGCGAAGACGGCGTATATGCTGTAGCAAGAAATTGACGTCGTAGGAGCTGTATTCTAGTGGGGTAGACTAACAGCTCTCGGGAGGAGCGTGAGCGTGTCCCATCCAGCGTTTGGATTTGATAACTTTGACAAAAACGGATATGTCCGACTGGGAAGCATATGCTGGCGAGTCTGATGATGAGATGCAGCGAGAGAAAGTATGGAGAATCTATGCAGGTGAAGGTTGCTGTGGACAACAACCCACAAGCGATACAGTAATAATTGACTACGACTACCTAATGCCTGCCCTGAAGGATTCCTGGGCGGCATCGACTGGAATCCGAAGATCGGCCCCGCCTACCCCGGCCATCCTTTCGAGGCCTTGTTACATACAGTACTGTACTTGTACTGTACTGTACAGGTTAAGTTGACGTACCCACTAATGAGCCAACCCACTAATGAACCACGTGATTTGAGTACGACTCCAAACGCCTATATTAATAACTATATACTTAAAACAGAGGGAATTCATATAAACAAGCCTTATATGCCTCCTTAGAGACTATCTATCTAGTCTATAGTAATTAAGTCCCTAATTCCTTAAGCTTTTCCGCACGTTTAATGGCTCGAACTACCTCTACTACCGCCTCCTTCTTCTCCTTATCTATAGCCTTCTTTATATATATAATATTCGTAAATTACTTATTAAGATCTATTTTAACCTTCTTCTATTTCCTCTTTTAGACTAGACTATTATAATAAATTACTAGCTAGAGCCATAGAAAGATACGTAGACTCTAGTATAAGTAGCGTAAGAGATAGTATAATATATAGAAGAGAGGCCTATAATATAATAGATAGCCTTAGATAATAATCTAAGACTAAGGTAGGTATCTATAGGGGGAGCTAATCATAGATACTTAGAATAGATATTCTAAGTAACCTAGTAATTAGGAATAGAATATTAGTATTCTAAGTAACGTACTAAACGCTTAGAATAAGTATTCTAATTAGAGGACCTTAGTAGAACTATATAGACCCTTTAGACCTAATCTCTAGAGATAGTTCTATAGTAATTAATTTAAACTTATACTAATATAATTACTACTTTACTCGCCTACTAGCTAGTTACTATTTATACTCTATTAATACTTACTATAAATCTACTTATACCTCTTAGAGCCTTCTAAGAATCTTTACCTTTAGAAAAGCTAGGATACTCTATAGAACGGACTACTTTAGGGATAAGCCGTACCCTTATTAAGGAAGGTTTATTATAGAGCCTTACTAAGGAGTATTTTAACACATGTATTCCGTATTAGGAACTTTATAATCTATCTCTTACCTAATTTAACTATTACTCCGGATATAGCCGTGATTTTAATTACTATATTATAGATAATCGTATGGCTTAGGGCTATCTATATCTAATCTAAGTAGATTATCTAATTATATAGGTCCTTCTCTTAATTAGGAGATAGTATTTAAAGATAATAATTAGCTACTTAGCGTGAGCCTTACTATCTATTAAGGCGTTTTTAAAGAGTAGAGTATAGAATACTATAGGCGGTAGCGACGGCCTAGATTAATACATAGAGATAATAATAGCGATAGTAAATAGCCATTAAGAGATTATCTTCTAAATAAGGTATTATAAGAAGGTAGAGGAGGCGTGGTTATTAAGTATTTTAAGATTAAAGATTGAGTATGCGTGTAGACGCGTACTTAAATCACGTGGTTCATTAGTGGGTTGGCTCATTAGTGGGTACGTCAACTTACAGAACGTGGAGCCTGGTTCCCAATCTGATCCCTTGTCCACCCGGGAAACTGGAGGGCAGTCCACCCGCCCTTAGCCAGCGACTCTCGGGCCACTACCCAGCCAACCTCCCAAGTTCCTGCCAACGACACCACACCACCACTTACTCACCACCTCCACACCACCTACCTATACACCAGGATCCATGGCATCTGGTGTACATAACTACCTACTGTAATTAGTTACATACAGTATGTACGTAAGGTGACCAGCCGTACCTAGGTAGTCCGCTTTCCCTTCACTCCACTCCCTTCTCTCGTTCTCACCACCACCACCACCCTCCCTCTATTGCAGCGACCATATCACCGCCAGATATCCCGAATATTGCGCCAACCTTATCATGAGCCCGCAGCATTCCTCGTCGTCTTCATCTGCCAACAAGGAACTGCCGTGTGATCAGTGTCACAAGCGCAAAGTATGTCTGTCTGTTTGTGGTTCTCCCTTCCGCCTCCCCGCTCTTCTTGTGTGTGCTTAGACATGATGTACATGGTCAGAGGAAGCAGCCGCTCCGCCTGCTCAGAAGACGCAAGAAACAGGCCATCTGACTCTTGCTGCAGGTGAAATGCGGAGGTGGGACGCCTTGTAGTCGCTGTGTCGACTCTGGTCTGCAATGTTCCCGTAATATTGTGCGTAAGAAGAGAGGTCCCAAAAAAGGTCACGGGGCCGTCATCTCCAGACTGCGAGCAGAGTCGACCTCGTCACAGCCGCCGGAGGACTTTGTGCCTCATACACATCCTCCTCCGCAGTCGACAAGTCATCCTGCTAGCCTAGTCGATCACCCGTCGACTGGCTTGCCCGTGTCGTCGTTGCTCAACGATGTAAGCTCAAAAGGATGTCCAGTAAGAATCTGGAGTCCTATGTGCTGACGGTCTGTAGCCTCACGATGTATCTCATCCGCCCCAACAAATCCCAGGACTAGGAGATCAATTTATCACCCTAAATGACTTTGCTCAGCACATCTTGAGTGCGAACAACCTGTTTGGTTCTCAATCTCAGTATTTTGCTTCTCACACTGAGCCTACCTTTGGCTCTCCGCTAGCCTCTAGCTCGGCTTCAAACAGCATCGAAACGTTTCCGAAGATTGAATCGCCTGACGATTATGTGACTCCCATCATGATGGACACCCAGCTTAACCTGGGATCTCCTGCTTTCTGGGCGCAAGGCTCCCCAGAGAGCGAGACACTATTACACAAATGCATTAACCTGTTCTTCCAAAACATGTATCCAATTTTTCCTTTAGTTCACGAAGCGACTTTCCGTGCAAAGCTCGGTAATCCTGGTGAACTGGAAACCATCGACAGGGTCCTGATACTTGCCATGTGCGCCTTGTCCATCATACAGGTCTCGGATGTCGCATGGGGTAACCTCAGCCATGACTCGCGCATGACCAAGGGCAAAGATCTCATACGACAAGCTTTGGAGTTGCGACTCACGTGCGACTTCACTGAGATGAGCTCACTCGCCGGTATCTTGACATCTTTGTTCCTACAGACTGCCTATTTCGAGCTTCGCAGGAGACGATCATCATGGTTCTACTTACGTGAAGCCATCACACTAGCTCAGGCAGCGAGATTACACGAGGCATCTGGCTATGAAGGTATGGACTATGTGGAGCGGATATGTGCTCAAAGAATATATGCTATACTGTTCATAACTGAGCGCGGCGCCTCGATTCTTAGTGTGCTGCCGGTCAGCATAAAATTCGTTCCCGTACTACCAGCAGATATACTTCCTGGCGAGGATCCAAGTATTCTATCTGGCTTGCAAAGCATATATACTTTATTCAGCCTCTTGGACGAAAGCTTCGTGGAGCTCTGGAATGCACCGACTGAGCCTTTTCCACAGCGACAAGGTCACGTCAATATCGCTGCAATGCAGCACAAACTAAAGGCTTTAGATCTCGACACCATGGGGCTTACCGTTATCCAAAGCGCTGACATTCGGGTCACACAACAATGGCTGAGACTAGTCTTCTGGCAAGCTGCGATGCGCCAAGGGTTGGTCTTCCGACGTGTGCCCCATAACGTGTCCACTGACATTTCTTGAATAGTCTGATTTCGAGTACTGCGGAGGACTCAGCTTTCACTTACGATTTTCCTCGTGAAATCGGTCATTTACTGGTCAATATTCTCAAATCTCTACCTCCAGCGGCGATCCAGGCACATGGACTTGGCATAGTAAGTTTGTCCTACGAGCATAGTACCTGCGAGAACGCTTGTGGCGCTGCGACTGTTCCCAGTACAAAAAATGAATACTGATATGCTAGTATAGTTTGAGAAGCAGTTCGAGGTTGCTTACTCGCTTCTGGACAACTTGACGCTGTCCCAATCAAAGTCACCAGAGGACTACGAGAATCTACGATTTATATTCCGATGCTTATCAGCATCGCCTAGCTCAAGAGATACCTACGTGCGTGCATTGGAAACAAAGATGGACAATCAACGACGACCGTCGAACACTGCTGGTATCGAGTTTGTCGTTAATTGGGATCTAAGGACTCATGAAGGTCGTCGCCTCTCTGTCATCTGAGCGAGTTCGTATAATTTCCCCGCCTCTCTTCGTCACATTATTATTCCGCACTCATCACGGAACGAATATAAAAATCGGAGAAAAGATGAGCTTTCGCCAATATCGTCATCGTATACCCGTAGGATACAGCCAATCAGCAGAAGGCGACAAGACAAGGTAGCGTTCCATTGGGCATACGCCCCGCAACATGCACGTGCTCGTGCACGTGCATGCTTTGACCATGATCTCAATTATCGACATACGAGTTCGACTTTTCCAAAAGCATGCATCAACTGTCATTGACGAAGCCTGCCACGATGGAGAATACTTTACAAAGTTCGTTCCATCGTCGTTGTTGCCTTGATTGACGCTGTATCTTCACAGTGGCGACCACTCATTTTTCGAGTATTCTTAGTCGTTGAGTTCTTCGACATACCCACCTCATCCTGTCTAGATCCTCGTCCATAATGCCAGCTGGATCAGCATCTACTTCCAAGGGTAATGATGTCTACAAAACTCTGGCAAACAATACCAACGCATGTTGGTGGAAGGATCCAGGTCTACGACGCCTTAACATTGGTATCATCCTCACTTTTGCCTCCGCAACCGCCAATGGCTTCGATGGCTCATTAATGAATGGCTTGCTTGCCATCCCAGCTTTCAAGATCGACATTGTGAATCAAGTGAGCACGAATGTGTTGGGTCTGATTATTGCCGCGATCTCACTCGGAGGTCTACCTGCTCTTATCCCAGCTGGCTATGTCTCCGACCACTTCGGCCGGAAGAAGTGTATTGGCTTGGGAACTTTCATAATGGTCGTCTGCGCTCTCACACAAGCTCTCACCAATGGCCCGTGGGCCTTTCTAGGAATGAAGGTTGCATTGGGTGTTGGAATTGCCTTTGTCCTCATCGGCGCACCACCTCTAGCCACAGAAATTGCTCATCCACGAATGCGCGGTCAAGTCTCGGCGACATTCCAGACGACATTCTATTGGGGCGCAATTGTCTCTGCAACCGCGACACTCATTGGTTTGTACGTTCGTGGATCCTGGGCATGGCGTATGCCTGTCATTCTGCAAGTCTTCTTCCCAGTGCTCCAGATCATCGGCCTTTGGATCGTACCTGAATCTCCCCGCTGGCTTGTTGCTAACAATCGCCTGGATGACGCTTTAGCGATGCTCTCTCGCTACCACGCCAATGGCGATACGTCCGATGCCCTCGTCCAGTACGAATTCAAAGAGATTCAAGAAGTCGTTCGCGCTGAACTCGCCACCAAAACATCCTCCTCGTGGGCAGATTTTCTTAGCACATCTGGAAATCGTCGCCGTCTCGCCATATGCATCATGGTCGGCTTCATGATCCAATGGGCCGGAAATGGGATCGTTAGCTACTACCTCGCGCCCATCCTCGCATCCGTAGGTGTGACAAACCCCATGCAACAGGCCAGCATCAACCTGGGCCTTCAAATCTGGAATGCAGGTTTTGCGCTCGCTGGTGCATTTGCATCGGAGCGCTATGGCCGTCGTCCATTATGGCTCACATCTGCCATCGGCATGTTGGTGTGCTTCATTCTGATCACGCTCCTGGCCGCACTTTACGACGAGCACCACAACACCCACGCCGGCACCGCCGTCATCCCGTTCCTCTTCTTCTTCTTCGCCTTCTACGACATCGGCTTCACGCCCATGTCTCTGAGCTACCCAGTCGAGATCTTGCCATACAAGCTCCGCAGTCGCGGTCTCTCAATCACCCTCACGACCGTCTTCGCCACTGGTTTCTTCAACCAATACGTCAATCCCGTTGCGCTGGAGTCGCTTAGGTGGCGCTTTTATTTCGTCTATGTGGCCTGCTTGGTCCTCTTTATTTGCGTCATATATTTCTTGTTTCCGGAAACGAAAGGACGTACTTTGGAGGAGATTGCGGTCGTGTTTGATGGGCCTGGGGTGGGGAGTCAGGTGCAACGGAGGGTCAGTGTCAGTGGCACGCAAGAGGAAGAGATGGATGTAAATGGCTATACAAGTGAGAAGGCGCAGGCGTTGATGTTGGGGACCGAGGAGATGCGGATTGCTAAATTGTAAAAAATACGGCGTCTGGCACAGACGCATAACTTGTTGTACCTATACGTAAAACTTTTGACACAACTAACGGCGTTTTGGAGGTGGGAAACTGACTGGGGCAAGGGATGGATATAAAATGTACACACGGACATATCAATGCGATGTTTGAACCAGTTCCTCACAAAGAAGTCTCCCTCTTACATCTACAACCGTACCACGTATCTGAGTTCAGCGTTCTAGGGCACCAGTAACAAGAATCCGCCAGATGAACAAAATGTCCCGATGTTAGATATTGAAAGCCACATTAAATGCTGTGTGTGTAATTTGATATAGTCTATAGGACAATGTGGTCGCTATACAAAAGAGATCAGGCCTGTTCGGATCCTCTTGTTGGGGTCCTGTTAATGCTGCCTGCCAATGTCTGAACAATGTCTGGTAACGGACAGCGATAACTGCGCGATGCCAGCCAGTCTAAGTGCTAAATTGTATCGATTGGTGTGTTTGTTTTGGGGGGATATCACTCATACAACTTCGTATTCTGCCCATTCGACTTCGTCTTTTCCTTCTCACTGAAGAGTACGAGCTTCTGCTTTCCGTCTTGGTATTTTCTTTCCTTTCTTCTCTCGGCTCCACTGACCAGAGTCTCGTCTGCTTTCTTGTAAGCCCAATCACGCTGCACTTCCCTCAACCAATCTCCTTCTCCACCCCTCACAGGCCTCCTCAAATCCCCTTACCACACCTTCACACGTACTCTTGCCCTCCCGATCCGCGAGCTTCTTCTCCCACCCGCCCTTCTCGATATACCGTATTCCCTCCTCCTTTGCCTCTGCCTCGCGTCGCCACTCTGCAAGCGTCTCCCGCACGCCGCGTAGTCGGCGCTGTGCCGTGGCTTGATTTTGTCGCGCCATATGAAGGCTATCTGTGAGTAGAGAGAGGGTTTCGAGGAGTTCGGTCGACGATTGTGAGAGTGCATTGAGGCTGTGGAGTGGTTGGGAAGGCGCGGTCGGGATGAGCGGGAGTGTGGATTCGATGAGTGGAATGAGAGCAGCGAGGATGTCTGCATCGAGGGGCGGTGCAAGCGGAGAGAAGAGGGTCGAGGTGAGGGATGTGAGGGTACGGGTTTGGTGGGTTATGTGGGATGCGAGGGCAGTGTGGGCTGTCGTTAGACTGTCATACAAGATTAGCATTTGAGCAGAGATACGTATACAGAATGACACACCGAGACGCACTGCTCTCCACGCCAGCCTGGCTGCCCAGGTCACGGAGTGATGCGGTGACGCGAGACACGACACCGTCGTTTGCGCTGCCGTTTTCTTCGAGACCGCGTCGTGCCAGACTCTCTACTTCTGCGATCTGGCGCTCTAGACCCTTGCTCATATTCTGGTCCGCCTCCAGGTCGTCCTCGTCGCCGTAGTCGCTGCCATCATACAGGCTCTCATTGCGCCGATGTGCATTTCCTGGCTTTAGACCTTGGATGTCACCTTTTGTCCTGTCCGCCCCCAGGATGGAGGAATCGTTCGCTTCGCTTGCAATCTGTGTTTCGTCCTCTACGGCATCTTCGTCGGAGTCCCATTCGCCGAGTTCGTCTGCTAGACTACCCAGACCATTTCCACTACCAGCGGCAGGGACGTCGTGTTCGCCATCAAACTGAGGCTGGGTCGGGGATCCGATGGGTGAGAAGTCTTGGTATGAGGAGGACTGGCGGCTGTGCTGGTATGAGCGTCGGCGGGCGTTCTGGGCGGAGGTGGAGATGTTGGAGGGGTTGCGGCGGTGAGATGTCGTTGGGGATTGTGGTGGGGATGACATCGAGATGATGTGGGTGAATTTAACTTTCTACCCTTCTTGATGCGTCCAAGACAATATCGTCGGTACGATTCTGATACTGACGTGGTGAGCTATGCGGTGGAAGTGTTTTGTGGGTAGTCTGATGGAATTATTTAGACTGGTCACTGCCGATACCGACGTGGACCGTTTCGACGGAGCACAAACACGCTAGCGTGTATACAAGTCTTAGACAATGACCAAGGGCTCTTTCAGTGTGATGCTGATATGGCTGACACTTGGAGTGCAACAGTGAGTAGACGAAAGAAACACTTCTCGCTGAGGTAATTTAATGTGGTTCCGTTCCCGCATGGTCGTGGGTTTAGGGACCCTGAAGTCGCCTCGGCCTAGCCGTTGTTGCCGTGACGGTCATCCTTGCAATAACTATTAATTATCACAAGCTTCATGTACCAAGAAACGAACATAGCGAGGCATATGTTGATGTTCAAACATTTCCGTTCACTAAAAGACAGACTTTATTGCTACGTATGTAGTATCGAGTCCCGTCTATAACGACAGTTTGCAAGTTACAGCCGACTTTGTGAGCCCTGTGACCCCCATCCATGCAGGCTAGGGCCGTGGTCCTAACATTGTCTCCTGTAACGACGCGCATGCTGGTTACTGTAGGTGTTTCAACCCGTAGACACCAGCTCGCGCACTTGATTCTTGCCTGTGAATAGTCTCCGCTCATCGCAATGGTCTCATTTTCCCTGCTCTGCCTTTTGAACTTGCAGCGAAAGCTGCGACCAGAAATTTTGTCCGTTTGCCATGTTCTTCGCGTCAACTTCTGCATCACTGTGAGCTCCCAATTTGGTATAGCTTGGCAGGTGAGTTTTACGATTCTTGGTCCATACGCCGCTACTTCGCTTTGATACCGAGTCCCCTTGCACTTTCATATGTGGATCGCCTGTCCAGGAATCAGCTACAAAGTGCGCGTGAACTTGATGATGGCTTACCGGAACCCGAGCCAATGGCTTCTTTGTAGTCTATAACAGTGTCAGCGTGTCAGCGATGACTATCGTCGTAGCACCAGCGAAGTCCAAGAGGAGGCTACCTACTCTTTGTGAGGAAATTTTTGACTTCAGTGGAGTTGAAGCCTCTGATCGGCGCATATGCAGGCGCGCCAGCTTTACCGCTTACTTGCGGTGCAGCCGGCACTGGTGTACTTCTGCGGTCGCCTCCTGCAGCGGATCCGCTCCGCGAATTTCTGTCCTGTCCGGCCCAAGCATTACCGGAGGACGAAGAAGGTATGGCTTGGCGACTAGTATCTTGACGGTTGGGTGCGTTCGTGCCAGAGCGGTCTTGCGTCGCGTTCTGGCCTTGCTGTCTGTTCTGGCGCTGCTGCTGCTGAGGGCCGCCCCGGGACCAGCTGTGTTGTCAATAAAGACTCTGTTGATGGGGTGCAACACGTGAAACTTACCGATTCTCAGCCGCTGCGCTCATTGCAAGAGGGGCTCTGAAGCTTTGCGGTGTGGTGAGAGAGCACAGAGCTTGAGCTGGTCTGGACTGTAAGTACCGAGCTCCAGTCTGAAGGTGTGTTGGATATCGTGGTCCGTGCACAGAAGCGGAGGAACGGAGGACTAAGTCCGGCTTTCCCGTTCTCATCTACGGGCTGCTGTCATTCATGTATTTTGAGTCCATACCTGTGCCATTCCCGTAGCTTTGTACTTGAAGGAACGATAGAGCCGTGGTTGAGCAGACAAGCGATACGACTCAACCCTATCCACCATACTAAGCGCTCTGTAATACGAGTCGTCTTCATATCAACTCTCTTCGCATACTCCACTTCAACCTTCTCATTAGCCACAAGATCCAAAGCGTTCCAGGCACAAATTTCTGATAATATTTTAACATTCTACTGACCATAGTAACCTTCGATCGTTACTTCCTTCTCAATGTCTCCAAATACCCACCTTTCATTCATGTCGTCAGTTGAACACATGGTGCGAAACACTATAGATATCAGCTTGCATTTTTCACCACCACAGTCTTCACGCGACAAACATGACGAAATCTGCCAAGATCTCTGACCGAATTACAGCTGTTCTTGTACATTAAAATATTCCAATAGCCACCCACTAGAATTACAGCACGCCCAGCAGCATATACTCCAGTGATCGTAGACACTCTCCCAATCATTCTCGGATCTGAACGATATCGTCCCTTATCTATACATTTCATTCGATGCCCATCTTTCACCATTCTCTAAGCTCTGGATGTGTATCATTATATCAACGGTCCATACCTGCGCCCATACACACCCCGAACCCACAGTAGTCCGCTGCCAACGCCATATGATCGAACGTGGCGTGTACCGCAAGAGCCACTGTATGTCCAGGAACTGTCAGAAGAAGACTTGGAGGAGCTTTGAACGGTGTGAAAAATGTCAAGACCTTGATCGAACAGCGACAATGGGGATAAGAGGGAAAAGAGGGAGGCGAGAAGCAGTAAGGAACTGGGCGCGTGAGCGGTCTATGGGGAAGCTCTGGTCTGTAAAGAGATAGACTGCAAGGCATATGCAAAGATACGAGAAAGACGAAATGAGATGAAGAAAACGGCACCAGATGTATGCAGGCGTATCGAGTCGTGAATTTTGAATGCTGATGATAGCAACATAAGGGTAGGGTATCTGTATTCTCTCTTGTGTGCTAATCGCACATTCGACATCCTTTTTTTCTGCTTTTCATTCTTTGCTGTGCCATGTTCAATTCGTCGTCTCGCATCTCAACCATCTTGCCAGTGTTTTCCAATCGTCCCTCCCTACGGTGGCTTACCGATCTCTTCGGCTCTCCGTCAAGTATATAGCGAAGCTATCATGTATCATAGAGTGAGAGTGCGGTCTTCTGCGGCTCAGACTCGTGTGTTGTATCCACTCTGGAGTCGACACTTGGAAATAATACTCACTATCAGCGACACGTAGTCCCCAAATCTTTTTCTCACCCGGTGTAAGTGTGCTGGCTCTCAGAATCAATTATAAAGCTACAGTGTGCATTGGTAAGATCAACGACATATCCCTCCCTTTGAAGCTCTAGACGAATACCGATGCAACCCTTGAGTAGCTGCAAGGTCCTGTTCCTGACATGACAATCGTTTAACTTCAGCCTCAACTCCGATTTCATCGATAACGATTGTACCTGTTATAGTGAGGTAAGACCCTTTAAGGCCCTCGATTTTCCCGTGGACGCACCCGTGTGGAAGTTGAAACAGTAGCATCTCCGCGAAGGCGAGGCTTCGATCATCACACAATGTCTCATGTCTCGGCCAGTCCACAGCCTTGCAAGCTTTCTTGAAGTAGCCAGGAAGTCGATCGTCAACATTGCTGGAACAACTTCCGCAAGAATGCATTCTTTCCCGGGCAAATATAGTCTACGCTCCTTGTCTTCTCAGGTAAAGTGTCGGAGTTGCAGAGGGTCCGCTCCTGAGTTTGGCGCGCTCAATACCCTCAGAGATTAGAGTTACTGTGACGACAAGGGGTGTTGGAAGGGTCATTACCTCAAGGTAGGTGAGTAGAGATTGCAGTACTGAGGTTGTATTTCTCTGGCTCAGTCTGCTCGTATAGTACTTCTCGAACGACAAGCTCGATGTAGCCGCGTATGACAGTACCGAATGTGAGTTCTTCGAGTGCTTTCATTGCTCTTTGTCAGCTTCTATTTATGATCTAAATCAGAGGAAGCTTCGTTCTCGTACTGTTATCAGACTGCTAGTCCTTCACCGTGATCGATCTTGATTGGTTGTGATTATGGAGTCAGCCAGCAAGAGGCTGAAGTAGTGAAGAGGGAGAACATAGGTGTGTGTGAGGAACGGCAACACTTCTTCAAGTTTCAGAAAGTCAGATGAAAATGCTGTGGCGAAGAATAGTAAACGAGGCGGACGAGATACGCCCTAAGGCAAGTGGTTGGTCACATGCGTGTCGCCGGTGCGTGCGTGCTTGTTGGGCCTATCTGCGCTTCTAGCAAATTTCACCTTTTATATTTTCAAAAAAGTCAGCTACTTTCAGTCAGCGGCACTGATGGCTTAACTGCCTCCAACGCGCACACAATCTCGCTCAAAAAACCACGCTAGTCCCAAGCGCAGGTTTCTGCAAGAGATCCCAGGTTCAATCCTGGGCCCTGCAGTTTTGTTTTGAATATACATTGTCGCGCTAGGCCTAATCGGGAGATTCCAAGTGAATTCAGGGGTCGTAATTTTTCCGGTTCGTAGAAAGCGATAACAGACTTCATACTAAGTTAGTACTAATACTTTTAGATAGTGTAATATAAGAGTAGAAAGAGGACACTGTATCAGTAAGCGACATGACAAGTCGTAGGCAATGATGCGGCCGGAGAGCAAGTCACTTAGACTATGATTATGTTGGTCTGGAACGAGTGAGCCATCAAACTGTGTCAGGTGAGGAAGAAACGTCGTTGAATAGGGCGTAGGGTGTAATGCATTATAGTCACTGCGAGAAGCTATCATGCAGTGTTCCATTGCTAGAAAAAATCTTTTGTCGACACGAGGAAAATTAAATATCGAAGTACATTTGTTGCGAAGCTCAGTCACCTTTAACTGAGATACAGAACATAAAAGAGAATAAAACATGGCGTATGACCTGATGGGGATCCTGCAGCCCAAAGAAGAAGCAGCCCATCAGCGACTACAGCACACATGTACTAAAGAAACAGAGAAAGACGAATAGATTTGCAACTTGTATGAAAGAGTCACAAGTAGTCGCTGAAAGAAGAAGACGATAGATAGCAATACAGCAGTATCTCACGTACAGTAACATAGACCATACATCTTCCAATACCACACCATCTTCATCCCAAGCTACATATATTCACACCTCTCCGAACCTTCCTAGGACCTCTCGAATCATCTCGTCGATGTCCTTCTCACGGACACAGCGATTGGAACTCATCCAAAGCCTCTATACACATATCAGTTCTCCTCTCGTTGAAACCACTCTCATCTGTCCTACGCTTATCAAACGACAGTGAAAGGGACTTGCGCTGCGCATCCTCCGCACTACATTCTGCCACAACACACGGCCCAGCGCTATCACCAACCGCTTCTTTATTGTCGCAAATGCATTGGACGTCGTTGGACAGACAACCGACAGACGAAATTGCGGCAGCAACGCAGGGTTGCTGTTCCCATCAGTGAAAGAAAGTAAGAAACGGGGATATAAAGACGTAAACATACCGCGCAGTTGGGAACTTGGGCAGCAACAGTAGCGACCAGGATGGCCAGAGTAGCGGGAAGTAAGAAGTGCATTGTATGTTCTAGGTCGAGGCTATGAATTTTAAGCCAAGGAAGAAGGTGAGGAATGATATGTTATGGTGTGTAACGAAACGTAGAGGTGTGGCATCATATATAGTCATCGCTCGCGGCGTATTTCAGCTCGAAAAAGGCAGAGATATTGAAACAGAGACATTCAAGCGCGTTAATGTCGTGTTTGCGGTCAGTAGAATAGGTTCTTGTAAGCGAAAGCGGCGATACGTAACCCAATCAAAAACATCAATAACAGATGTGGGCTCGGTATTTTGCACGACTTTGAAACCTCTCTAAGGAGCAAACTAAGACAATGAAGTCATGGTGGTCCTCATTCGTGCGTGTATTGCTGAAAGTGGACTTGATAGGCACCAGTAAGCGATAGTGCTGACATTAGACAGGGGTCAATGTGATTGCCTGAAACGGCGGTTGGCGAGAATGCGATAAATTAAGCGAGCGAAAGCAATGCTGGTTTGTGTCTGAGAGCAGGAAGCGAGAATAGCATTTACTGTTCAAGGAGAGATCAAAGATTATGACGCCAGCTCACGAGTATTTTGTGTTTGTCAGGAAGTTTCTCGGGCGATAATACGGCTTGGCTATACGAGGCTGAATTCGGACTGTCGCCTGAAACCTGAAATTAACGGACTACAATAATTGACGGCGAATGATGCTCGAGTGTTACTATGGTTTATGTAGCATCGAACTATGATCCCTGGGCAGCGATTCTGATGACCTCATTTTCTACCATCTCGAAACCAGTCAATGCATTTCCATATTGCTCAAAGACCCCTTCCGTGTAGCCATCCGCGACCCTTTTCACGAAATCCTCCTCTTTCCATCTCGCTTCTACGAAGTCCTCAAACGTCTCTCTTCCCTCCCTCCTGCATCCCCACACTGCCTTGTACGCACTGCCCAGAGCACATGCATTCCCCCCAATGTCCAACTTGAACACGCCTTCGGAGCCACCAAGCACCTCGCCCGCGATTTTGGCGATCGCGTCATTGTTGCTGCCACCGCCGACGAGGTACACACGGCGCGGCTGCGCGGGAAGGAGCTTTCCCGTCTCGGTTCGTTGTGGGTGTACGAGATTGTGTGAGCGTAGACGTAAAGAGAGGAACTGTGATTCCACAATAGCGCGGGCGTCGGCTGTGGCGCTGGGCCATGAGTCTGTACCAGGTTCTACAGGTTTTAGGTCCTTGGATGTAGAGTTCCAAAGATAACGCCAAGAACCGGCTTTCACATTCGGGACAATTTCAGGGCGAGGGAAGAATAGACCAATGCGAGCGTTATCCTTCGAGGAATCCTTCTGGCCAAGAGCAGGGGTGCTGAGGAGTGTTCTGTTGAACGCGGCCCATATGTTAGCGTCTTCTGAGGATTCGAGGTCATTAATGGCATCGCGGACGTGCTCACGGGCGAGGCCGCCATTCTTATAACACAGCATGAACATATAGAGACCGGCTGTAGCTGGGTGGTTCATGAAGTGATATGAGGGATCTGGCTGGTACTGCGGGGTAGACATGAGGAAGGTAGTCGAGGTCCCCAGCGATACTATGGCATCAGAGGCCTGGAGAGGGAGAGCAAGAATGGTGGATGGGTTGTCGCCAGTGCAAACGATGACGGCGCAGTCTTTGCGGAAGCCAAATCGGTGAACAAAGTAAGGCGAGATCGGTCCAAGCGTTTCGCCACCATCTTCAGGGACGGGGCCAAGCTTCTCCTTCAGTCCTTCCGACCCATCTTCACCAGCAACAAGAGCTAGGAGATCCTCCTGCCATCGGCCTTTGCTGACGTCCCACATGTTCATTCCGCCGACATCGCCAATGTCGATTGGCGCTATCTTTCCCATGAATATCGAAGCAATGAAAGAGGACACGAGGGATATGCGAGCAGTTTTCTTGTAGTGTTCAGGGTACTTGGTGCGGAAACGAAGAATTTGAGGTCCACTGAAGCGCTATCATGGATATCAGTAGTATGTTCGTTCCAGCCGTAGAACACTCACATGATGCGCCTTGCTACCAGTGACCATAGCCAGCCTTCCCGGGCTCCCTAGATGTAAATCGAATATCTCACATTGCTTCTGTGTGCTCGCATCTTGCCAATTTGGACTGTGTGGATGACTAAAAACACCGCCAGCCTCATTGCTATGCTCCGGACCCATCTGCTCCACTAAAGTCTTCGCCGGATTTAGCGAGCTCATGATCTTCTCCGCATCTGTGCTCCAGAAAACAGTGCCATGCTGCATGCCAGCACCAGATATGCCTGCGATCCTCGAGAAGTCCAGTCCCTGCGCCTTTAGACGCTGAAGCACTAAGTCAAAGGCCTCAAGCCACATGTTATTCGGTGCGAATATCTCTCCCTCGGAGGGGTTGGTAAGAACGCCTTTAGTGATGCCATATTTTCTAAGGTCGGCATCGAAGTCGACTTTTGCTTCAAAGACGAGCTTGAGATCTGCCTTGACCACGATACCTGCATAGTTTGTCAGCGCTGTGCCCCAAGTTTGGGACCTTGTAAGCGCACCTTTGAGCTGTTGGGTACTCAGGTCGAATCCCAAGAATAGATCATTGTCAGCCATTATCGATATGGGTAGGGCATGTAAATCGTCCAAGCATATGTAGGACAGAACATGGGATCAGTTCAAAGTAGAAGAGAATGATCGAAGGGCGCATTACGTTCAATTGGGCCAATAATTAATTGGGCGCAAGTTGAGACGCGGTGTAAGGTGGCAGGAGCTCCCCGGCGGGTTCAAAGAAGTGGGGCTTAGTGTCAACTGCTTGTAACGTCAGGGTCCAGCGTGGTAGCGTTGCGCCAAGCCTCGTGGGATGATATTACCCGGTGTCCCAATCATCTATCAGCCTATACCTGTTCTCGCGTTTGGCTTAGATCGCCAGGCTCGTCGACACATTCATTTTTGTTGGAATATTCAAGGCATCCTTATTAAGTTTAAGTTACAACCTACTAACCTTAGCCTCTTAACCAAGATAATACAATGATAATCTAAGATTCATTAACTATATTATAAGAGAAACGGAGACGTAATTAAGGTCATTAAATATATTCTATAATTATATAAAGAACTAAGTTCTAGGAGATAGAGTCGAAGCTATTTAACCGTTTAGACACTAGTTCTATTTAGAAAATAGTATCTCTTACTTAAAGTACCTTCTAATAATACTCCCCTATACTAGATATATATATATATTTAGTAATATTAGAATAAAGGAAAGCTTAAAGTAAGTAATAGTAAGAGATAGTACTAGAAGAATAAAGGAGAGATATAACTATAAGAGAAATAACTCTACTATAAACTAATTATTATCTTTATTTAATCTAGTAGTAGTAAGGGTAGTCCTTTTATTTCTATATTAGTAATATTATTATAACTTATAATATACTATATAGATATAACTCTATTAGTAAATAATTCTTAAATTATATAATAGTATATCGTGATATATTTAGACTATACTATAATTTACTAGTTTTAGATAAGGGCTATAGTAGCTTAATTATCTATAAGAAGATAGAGAACTAGAATATTATAACTTATAAAGATCTCTTTTATATCTAGTAGAGCCTACTATAAGTAACTTATAGTCTTTAAGTAGACTATATACTCTACTTCGTAGGTTGACTTAGTAATATATAATTACCTTTTACTATTCTAGACTATTATAATAAACCTTCCTAGATAAGGGTGCGGCTTATCCCTAAAGTAGTCCGTTCTATAGAGTATTCTAGCTTTTCTAAAGGTAAAGAGTACTTAGAAGGCTCTAAGAGATATAAGTAGGTTTATAGTAAGTATTAATAGAGTATAAATAGTAACTAGCTAGTAGGCGAGTAAAGTAGTAATTATATTAGTATAAGTTTAAATTAATTACTATAGAACTATCTCTTAAGGTCAGGTCTAAAGGGTCTATATAGTTCTACTAAGGTCCTCTAATCGGAATACTTATTCTAAGCGTTTAGTATATTACTTAGAATACTAATATTCTATTTCTAATTACTATATAGATTACTTAGAATACCTATTCTAAGTATCTATAATTAGCTCTTCCTATAGGTATCTATCTCGGCCTTAGGTTATTACCTAAGACTATCTATTATATTATAGGTATCTCTTCTACGTACTATACTACCTCTTATACTACTCGTGCTAGAGTCTACGTATCCTTCTATAGCTCTAGCTAGTAATTTATTATATAATGCCCCTTCTAAGGTACTTCGTCCCGAAGTACTTTCGTAGTTACTTATAAGTAGAGGGTTATCCTAATTTTCTTTAGTAAGGAACCCTTCTTCTTTTTCTTCCGTTATACCTAGAGTTATAAAATTAGTTAAGTCTTCTAAATCTAATCCGGCGAAATAGAGAGTTACTTTATCTATTTTAATTAATTATAAAGGTAATAAAATACCTTTCCCTTACTTATTCTATAAGAAATATAGTTTAACTTATAGAGCGGTATTCGTAAAGTCTAATAAGTGTTTAGAGTATATTTGGCGGGGTCGCTCGGTAAGTAAGTATAGGATTAAGGCTTTAAGTAAATTATCTTATAAGTTCCCTTTCCTCTTATTAGGGCTAGTAAGTAATATTTCTAGATAAGAAGGTTTATTCTAAAAAGACTTATCTTAAGTTAGAGAAAGAATATACGGCCGCTACTTAGCGAAAAGCTTAGTAGAACGCTTAGACCGCCTTTACGCGTCTAGAGCGTCTAGAGAAATAGTAGAAGCTATTAGAGTATCGTTAAAATAATATACTTTATTAGAATCTATTAGTAATAGACCTTAAGGAGGAGAAGGAGCGATTTAAATAATAACGGAGAGTTACCGTTAAGGAGGTTCCGAATCCTCCCTTAGGTTTTAATAATTCTTAGCTTAGTATAGAGGACTAGGCGAATCTAGGTTTATTTAATAGAACTTCTATAATAGTTACTAGTAGTTCATTAAATATTCCCTAGGTTCCTAAGTATTTAATTCGTATCCATAGCTCTTCTATTTAATTAGGTATTCTAGTATTTTATTACTAATTCTAGATTCTAGAATTCTTTTAACTTCGAATTCTTCGTCTATAGCTTTAATATTAGTTTTAATTTTTATATTATATAGTGCTGGTTCTAGTAACGAGATATAAAATACTAGGTATATCCTTATATTCTAAGGTAAGAATAGTTTATAATTAACTTCTAAAATTTTTCGTTTTATTCGGAAAGGTCTAATCTTTTTAAAGTCTAGTTTACTATTTAGTCGTTATATCTTAATATTTTTCCGTATAAGGAATACTAGGTCTCCCCCCCTTAGGGATAGTCCCTTTATTCTCTTTTAATTTATATATTTTACTATTCTTTTATTTATAAAAGAAAGTTCGGTCTATAGCTCCGAGTATAGCTTATATAGCTATTCTACCTTAATCTTTACTTTCGGTATAGACTATTCTAGTCTATAATTATAGCTAGCTATAGAGTTAAATCCGTAGTTCGTGTAGAACGGTAAGGTTTTAGTTATTAAGGTTATCACGCTATTATAGGCGAATTAAGCTAGTAGTAGTAGTTCTATCTAATTATCTTATTATTTATTAATATAGTATTAGAGGTATTATTCTAGTATCCTATTTAGAATCTCTATTTATCTATCTATCTATAGATAATAGGCTATCGATAGTTAGTAGTTCGTTCTAAGCTATTATACTAGGCTTTTCTAAAAGTTTAATATAAAGAGCTTATCTCTATTAGATATAATACTATTAGATAAACTATAGTTCGCTATAACCACCTATAGAAATACATAGGCTATTTCTTCTACATCTATATCTTTCTAATAGGGTATAAAGTAGGCGTACTTCGTAAGCTTATTAACTACTACTAGTATAGCATTATACTATACTCGCAAAACTAGTTCCCTTAAGAGTAGTAGATCTATTATAAAATCTATAGAGATTATTTCCTAAGCACATAATAGTAGGGGAATTAGTTAGAGTTCTCCATATAGTTTATATCTATTAGATTAGCTTTTATTATATAAGATATAGTCTTATATAACTTCCTTAATAACTTATCTTTCCTTATAAGTTATATAGTATCTCTTAAATCTTTTATAAGTTTTTATTTCTCTTTAATATACGTGTATTAGATCTTCATAGAATTCTTTAATAAAATAGTAGACCTCGTCCCTTAGGATTATACTCCTTCCCTTAGGGTCCTTAAATATAAATTCTTTCCGTGTTACTATAATATATCGCGTTAGTCTAAGGTTTCTATCTTTAGTAATCTCTAATATAGTCTATTCTATAGTAGGTTCTTTTTACTCGTATTCCGCTTATTAGCTAAGGGCGTTAGCTCTTCCGTTTTCGGATCCTTTATAGTATATAATTTAGATATTAAATTCTATAAGAAGCTCGTACTAACTAATTTATTTCTTTTAGAGTTCTTTCGTGGTAGTAAAGGTAGTTAGGTTTTTATAGTTAGTATATATCTTTACTATATAGCCTAATCTATAGAGGTAGCTTCTCTATTTCTTAAGGTATTTAATAATAGTATAGAGTTCTTTTTTATAGATTAGCTAGTTTATTTCTAACTCTCGGAACTTTCGGGAGTAAAATACTATAGAGTATCTTTTCCCTTATTTATCTATCTAGGTTAACTACCCTCCGATAGTAAATTCTAATATATCTATCTCGACTTTATAGGGTTTTCCTATTTAATATATCTTTAATATAGGTTTAGTTATAATAGACTCTTTTAATTATTAAAATACTTATTCTTACTTTAGTCTCTATTTAAATATTATATTTTTCTTTATAAGCTTATATAGTAGGGCCGTTTTCATAGAATAGTTATATATAAATTTTCTATAAAAGTTCGTGAATCTAGTGAATCCTTAGATTTCCTTAACTATCTTAGGTTACTTCTAGTTTTTAATAGCCTTAACTTTCTTTAGGTCTATTTATATTTCTCTAGGTATAATCTTAAATTCTAAAAATATAACTTTCTATATATAGAAGATACTCTTCTTTAACTCTACTAGTAGATTTACTATCTATAATTTCTAAAGTACCTTATATACGTGTTCTCTATACTCTAATAGGTTTCTTAAATAAATTAATATATCGTCTAGGTAGACGATTATAAAGTAGTTAAGGTATTCTTATAGCACGTTATTAATTAGTACTTAGAATATAGCTAGTATATTAGTTAGTCTAAATAGTATTACTAGATATTTATAGTAGCCGTATTAAGTCCGAAAAGCTATTTTCTATTTATCTTCTTCTACTATATATATAAGGTTATAGACTCCTTATAAGTCTATTATAGTAAAGTACTAAGCTTCTATAAGTTAGTTCTATAATTTATTAATTTAGAGTAGAGAGTATCTATTTTTAATAGTAATATTATTTAAGTATTAATAGTCTATATAGGGTCGTTCACTCCTATCTTTCTTTAGTATAAAGAGTATTAGATATCCGGTAGGTGATTTAGAGGGTTAGATATATCCCTTTACTTCTATTTTTTTAATATATTATCGCGTTATCTCTAGTTATTTTTTAGTAAGTTAGTATATACTTTTTAACGTGGGTACTATTCCTAGTTAGAGTATTATTATATAATTATACGGCCTACGCTTTAGTAGTCCCGTCTTAAGTTCTTCTTTAAAGATAATATAGTATTAGTAGTATTCCTTTAGTACGAGTACGTCGTTTATTTTTTAAATCTATTTATTTATGGGCGTGCCTTATTATA